TAGTTCCGGAGCATATCGCGGCCATTTTTTCTTGGACAGGATAGCCATCCAAATTTGCATATAGGTACAGCTAAGTAAGGAAATGTCTTTAGATGTGAAGGTGATGTGGTTATAGTATGGTGTTATGAAATGAGGTCAACGACCAGCTATTTTACCTTATCCTCAAGTACTAACACTTTTTATACAGATGTGCGGTGTGCGCACGGTGTGTGCACGAACAAAGCTATACTAGGCGATTACATCTAACGCACATCCGTGCTCACGTTGGATGAACGGTGTGCGATGGCAATTGTGGTTGATATAAATAGAGGAATGGCTATAAAAATTAATATGATTTCGTTTATAAAGTAATTTTGATTTAAAGTATGTTACCATATATTAACGAAATCTGTAGGTTTGTCTTTAAATAAAGGCTTATTTTAAAAGTTGGGTTTTCATGTTTACGTTCAATTGTATAAAGAAGACAAATTCACGCGTGTTAGTATACACAACGGCAGGGTCCAATACAAATATACAGCATAGCCTCTTGGTAAACGTAATTATATAGGTGTTTCTCGTACCCGGGAAACTTGAGTAACCTTCCATGAGAAAATACCGCTGGTGACTCAAACAAAGCAACTATAGATTCAACTCATGTCGATCGACACAATGTACAGCTGTACACCTAACGCGATTCAAAATTACCATAATGTGCAACAGTTTAGCAAATAACTAGTTTACGATACATCGTATATTATTTTACCTCATGTACATAAAAGGGACTGGATAAGAGAAATCGACGTAATTTTGATTTAAAGCATGTTACCATATATTAGCGAGATACCTAGGTTTGTTTTAAATAAAAACTTTTTTTGATTGTTGGGTTTTCATGTTTATGTACAATTGTATAAAGGAGTTAAATTCACGCGTGTTAGTATACAAATCGGTAGGGTCCAATACAAATATACCCCTGGTAAACGTTACTTGCTGTTTCTCGTCACACGGGAGACTTGAGTAACCTTCCATGAGAAAATACCGCTGGTGACTCAAACCAAGAAACTAAAGTTTCGACTTATGTCGATCGACACATCGTCGGCATACGTCTCGTTTTACAATGTACAGCTGTACACCTAACGCGATTCAAAATTACCACAATGTGCCACAGGTTAGCGAAAAACTAGTTTACGATACACCGTATATTATTTTACCTCATATACATAAAAGGGACTGGATAAGAGAAATCGCCGTAAAACAGTTTTACGCGTGTTCATGTTGACTTAACACAATCTTTTTCCCCATAGGTGATTTAGTTATGGTAATATTAGATTAAGTGTTCAAATTCTTGTTTCTATACAGCAGCACAGGTAGACCAGGAGTTTGACGTCCGCCTTGAAAACGGTCTGTACAACTACACTGGGCGGGTAGAAGTGTACCATGACGGACAATGGGGCGGGATCTGTGGTGATTCCTGGAACTACAATGATGCAATTGTTGTTTGCAGAAAACTTGGATACAAGTAAGTATCTAATTCATTTATATAGTCTTGATACGATGATAATTATTCTTTGATAGTTTTCGCCTGTTTTTGTATTATTTTATGGCCCATTGACAATTTATGTCATAGAGGACCAAACAGCACTTAGCAGAGCCAAGGTCATACACTTACAATAGACGTTCATGAAAGTGAAGGCAAATGTTAAAAAGAATGGGTTTTGTTTTATTATGTTTAACGTCCTATTCACAGCTAAGGTCCTTTAGGGACGTGCTTTAATGTGTGGAATGCGTGTTTGTGTGTATGTATGCCGGATGCTGGGTATGTTGGTGTATTTGCGTCAATGCGATAGTTTGGATCTGATACTAACTGTAGAGTGCTACCTCACTGAAATATCATACCAAAGGCACACAGCACAGCATTTCGACCGGTAACGTTATACTGACAACGGGTGAACCAGTTGTTGACATCACATCAATGTCAGGTGTGTAAGCGTGCATGTATGTACAATGTATGTATGTATACCGGAGGCCGGGCATGTTGGTATAGTTGTTTCCCTGTATAGCGCTGATCTGATGACGACTTTATAATGCCATCTCACTGAAATACCATGCCGAAGGCACCCCGCACAGAATTTCACCCGCTCACATTATACTGACAACGGCTGAACCAGTTCTTGTTAATACCCTTAATGCTGAACGTTAGACAGGGAAAAACAACTACCATTTTTAAGGATTTGGGTATGTCCTGGCCTGGGGACAGAAATACGATTTTGAAATATCTGTATGGTATTGGTTCATACCTTTTTACTTTAAAAATATTTTTTATAATATCTGACTATTTTGCTGTGTACCGATATATTTAAGCCTATTACCTGTCAGTTTATTTTTTTGGTGTATTAAGTTTTGCAATTGTTCCTTATTTAATATTGTTGTTAGAACCGATATGACTTAACTGTTGCTCGTCGTTGAACAATCGACTTAGTGTCACTCTAATCACTCTTTTTCTATAACCTCACTTGACAACTATGCTAATTTTTATACTAAAATGAGCATACATATATTTACAGCAATGGAACTACAGCTCACAGATTCCAGACCCGCGATTCCGCTTGGTATGAATTGTATGGAAATCAGACAGAACCAGGCCTTGTTTGGATGGATGGTGTGCAGTGCACTGGTACAGAGTCTGGCATTGCAGATTGTTCGTTTAATGGTTGGGGCAATGTAAACTGTAACGAATACTACGGCAGAGCGTATGTTTTCTGCTATGATGAAGGTAACGTTCATACGTGTGTGCGTTGTTTGTCAATTAGGTCCGACACGGGTTATTATGACTTGAGTTTTTTGTTTTTCAAACCGCCATCATCAGCTGTAGGCCATTCAAATCGCCCTTAGACAATTTTTATTATCGCAATTTTTCAGAAAGTGCTAGAGGAATCTTTCTAAAATTTAACATGTAGGTTTTCCTTAGCACGACGAACGCGGCCATTTTGGATTTTGATAGCTAAGGTTTGTTATCGCTTTTTTCTCAAAAAGTAAATACATGATCCTTCTCAAATTTAGTATGTAAACATGACCGACCGAGTCACTTGGCGAATTTGACGGTTTGGGAATTTCTCAGAAACTACTTGAGGGATCTTTCTCAAAATCGATATGTATGTTTTCAAGGACTCCAGTTGTGCTTGTTCACTTTTAAAACTGAAAGGAACAACAAAATGACCAACAAGCGGACATCTTGGAATTTGACAGTAAAGGTTTATTTCTATTTCTGAGAAAGTACTTGAGGGATCGTTCTCAAATTTCATAATTATGTAAGTTCCCCGTGGTGTTAGTCTATGCATGTTACCTTTATAGACCGTTCGGATATATGAAATGGCCGACAGGTGACCATCTTGAAGTTTGGAAGTTAGGCTTGTTATTGCTTTTTCTCAAAGTAATGGTGTACTCTTTTTCAGATTATATATGCTCGTCCCCTTTCGTATCTTGTTCATTATACTTTTGGTATTTCAGTGAGGTACATGTAGCACTCTTAAGCATATAGTGAGATAGCACTATAAAGTCGGCATCAGATACGCGCTATCACAAGGAGGCAAATACATCAACTTACCCTGTCTCCATCACACACACACACACACACACACACACAAGCACGCTCCCATTACACACATGGAGACACGTCCTTTAATGACCTGATCTTTTAATAGGTCGTGAAACAAAAAACAAGAGGCCCAAAATGTCTGCATCGCCTACCTGGTTTTGATTTCACAATTGTTACCGTAAAAGTGGATAAAAATAAAGATACATGCAAATTTCAGTGTTTTGACTCAAAGTCATTCAAAAGAACCTGTTAGAAGATTTAAACACAAGTGACCCATGTGACATTGAAAGTCAATCAAGGACATTAAGTTAAACAATTTGTATAACCCTTCATCCCAGAATGTCACTAGCCAAATACAACACCCTATACTTTTTGTTAATTGAGAAGATTTAGACATAAATGACCATGGAAGTGTGTCAATGTCATTCACATGGAAATTTGGTAGCTCTTCATCTCAGCATGCTACTGGTTTCATATCACTATCCTTTGCATTTTTGTTTTTAAGAAGAAGTCGTTTAACTTAAAAATGGCTGATCAGCGGCCATCTTGGATTTGACAATAAAGACGTAATTATGGTTATTTCTCAGAAAGTCCTGGATATTTTGACAGTTACGGTTTGTTATCGTTACTATTCAGAAAGTACAGAAGTTATTTTTAAATGGTTTTCTTTGGTCTTTAGCTCTGCTTGTTTACTTTTTAGACAGGAAAAACGAAACCGCCAACATTCAACCTTTTTGGATTTCGAAGGTTAAGAATCGTTTTCGATGACAAAGAATTGTTATGGGTATTTCTGAAAGTATCTGTGGGATCGTTCTCAAGTTTGATAAGTTGGCCTCCTTAGTCTTGAGTTTCACATGTTAACTTTTGAGAATGACTGCAAAAACAAAATTATTGACAGATGGCTATCTTTGAGTGTGACCGTTAAGTCTTGTTACTTCTATTTCTCAGAGAGAACTGAAGGAATCTTGTTCAAATTTAATGTGTAGGTTCTCCTTGCTAAATGTTCTCACGGCCCTTTTGATCGTGCATCCCTCATTGACAGCACTTCTTTTTATACATGAATAACAAATTTGTAGCAATTTGCCTAACTATTCCACTCTTATACAATCATATTTTTCATATTGGTAAAGAACATACGATTTTGCGAGGTTTAAGATAATGTACGAGATTCCCGTTTAGGACTTCCAACATTTGACCGAATAATAGTAAGAAGGTAAAAGATCACCGGTTGTAGATCTAATAAAGATCCTTCTTTATGGTCGGCGCAAAGATCCTACTAGGATTTCTTTTAAGTTCTGTAAAATTGATTAGTTGCAATATACATGCATCCGATAAATGTTATACAGGCAATAGTAGGTTTCCGTGTTAAGTCAAGATATTAACGAACATTGTAAAATTGTGTAATAAATACAATATGATTACCATTCAGATGACACGGAGGTAAAAGTTCGTTTAGTGGACGGCACATCTGATGGAGCTGGACATGTTGAAGTTCATTACAGCAGCATTTGGGGAAGTGTATGTTGGGACGGCTTTTACAACAATGAGGCTGAGGTCGTATGTAGAATGCTTGGATACAGGTATATTAAAGTTAGACTGTACTCATTAATATATGCATCTGTATATGTGGATTGGTGTTATTTCATAGGTTTTAAAGTCTTATTAACAGCTATGGTCAGATTTAGGATAGTTATATTTCATGAGCTGTTTTTTCAGAGGCCACTGGCAATACCCATATTGATCTGAGGTGATCAATCAATTACACACACATGTTTCGAAGTATAAAAGAAATTAAAAAAGATATAGTTAACCGTAAATGGACAAGATTTGTTTTCCAGGTTTTACATAGACTGTACATCCATACTAACAATCCAATTGTTTGATACTTTTCAGCAATGGAGTTGCTTATGGGGATTCATCATTTTCTTTCACTAAACTACCAAAATGGATGGAACAGATACAGTGTAATGGTACAGAGACAAATATCGCAGACTGCCCGTTCGGTGGATGGGGACAGATATCATCGACTTTGGGTATAGCGACTGCCCTCTGTTATAATGATTTGCAGGGTGAGTTTCTTATTCAATGAAAATCATTGTTGAAATAATAAAATCGATTTACAACATGTAGTTTTTCGTTAACATAATTCGTATAAAACATATATCGGGTAACGAAAAAGGAAACTATAACACTGACGAAGCAGTACTTAATAAACGTCAGTGCTAAGGACGTTACAGTTTAGAACTTCATTAGATTTTGACCAGATTCTGCTCCATCATGATTTTAGCTAGTGACGAACAACAAGGGGTCCGCCTCATGAATGATGTGTCCAACACCTCCGGCTCTGTAGAGATTATGTACGGTGGACAGTGGTCTATAGTGTGTGGGGATAACTGGGATGACATTGAAGCTGGAATCGTCTGTCGAATGCTTGGATACGGGTATATAACGCATACATTGCAGACTACATCAGTAGCATAGTTATGTTCTATAACGGCTAATCAAGAATCAAACCGCAACACACACAAAAGCAGAAAATCACAACGATATTCGTACTGTTTTTACCGTTTTTTCTATTAAAAACTTAAGATTCTTAATAGCATCTTGTTTTTTATTTCAGGGTGTTTATAGACTGATCTATGTTTTGACGGTCTATCCGGTCGATAATGTTAGATATTTTGGGCCAAATAGTATTAAAGAAAAAGATATTTACCTAAAGAAATACATCAATCTTACACCTAGGTGTTCACAGGTGAAAAAAACCCAACATATTTGTTGTATATAAATTGATAAAATAATACATTTTTACGATAACGATCAAATGAACGAACATGAATATCAAACATTGAACCAAATAGCCTGATCATGAACGATACATCCTAAAACGTTTGGTTAAACACAATGTTTTAGGTTTGGTTTGGTTTGGTTTTATTTTGTGTTACGTCCTATAACGACTAAGGTTCTTTATAGACGTGCCTCCATGCATGCATGTGTGCATTTGTGCTTGCCACAGGGTATGTTGGTGTACTTGCCTCCTTGTGATAGCGCGGATCTGATGCCGACTTTATAGTGCTATCTCACTAAAATATTATACCGAAGGCAACTCGCGTTCCGCCGGGTAACATTATACTGACAACGGGTGAACCAGTTATTGCCAAGGGAGGCACGGTAGTCTAGTGTTAGGAAACTGGGCTCGTGACAGAAGTTCTAGTCACGGCACGGCACTGTGTTGTAACTTTGAGCAAGATACTTTACTCCGCTTGTTCCAGTGTACTCGGCTGTAAATGAGTACGTGGTTGGGCAGCGCTAGAATTGTTGAATGCTAGGTGTTAGCGCCGAAATGGCAGCTCCGGCTGTATGCTCTGCACCCAGGGAGTTAGGAAAGATATTGGCTTGTTGCAAAGGCCCTATAACCACGGATAATAATTTGTGAACCGCTATGAGACGACCTACGAACTAGGTTGTGATAAGAAAAAGCGGTAAATAGGAACCTCTAATTTTTATTAATTATTATTATTACCCTAAATCCGGAACATTAAGCAGGGAATAACAACTACAATGTTTAAGGACTTTGGTATTTTCTGGCCTTGGAACAGAACCCATTGCCATCTCGTCTGGACAAATGTTCAATATTGAAGCCAAAAAAGAGATGTTGCCAAGCAAGGCAATAGGTAGTACGTAAAAAGGTAGTAAGAAGTAGAGAGAAATATTAATATCCCAAATATTGCAATAGATGCAACAGTTTTGCTTTTGTTGCTTTTGTGTCCCCAAGTTGCACAAATGCAAATCCCCAACGTTTCAATCGCAAAATATGAGACTAGAAAAGGTAGGTACAGCTGACCTTCCTTTAGTGCGTGTGAAATGAAGGTAGGACCTCGGCAAAATATGAAGATTATAATGTCTTTTCTATGGTCCCGCATAAAGCTTTATGCTGTCCCCCACTTAACATATACATCGCAAGAATATTGCGCCAACGCCTTCCTTTATTGGTTCCATGTTGGATCGATCTTTTCTCTTCATTTCCCAGCTATATTGAGTCGTGTCAACCGTCAATGGACCTTGTCGTAACTTTTGATAAACAATTCAAACTACTTTTTGTATTTGGTTTTATTTTGGTATGAACGGGTTTAATGCCCTATCAACAGATGAGGTCCTATATAACTAACTTAATGTGTATATGTATGCGCGCATGTTATGGCTGCTGGGGGTTATTACGGTCAATCAAGGCAGAAGAGATCATTACGACATGGTTTGATTATGTGTAACGCCCAATAACAGTTTTGAAGGACATTTGGGATTATTGCATTCTAATTATTTATAACCGTTTTGTCCAGGGCCTTCCTTACTAATACCCCTCGTTTGCTTTATTGTTGAACGCTCGCCCAAGTGAGGAAGACAATTGTTTCGGACCCCAGGCCGAAACTTATACATAATAACTTAAAATACAATTCAAATTGCTTTTACCTGCGTAACACTTGGCTTTAATTGTAATTAAATCTGGTTGTCAGTGTAGTGTGACCGGTTGGAATACTCTGCTGTGTGCCTGCGACAAGGTGTACTAGTGAGGTAACACTCTAAAGTCGGCATCAGATCAGCGCAATTGATATTGCTCTATAGCAAGGAAGTAAAACATCAACACCTCATGCCTCTAGCACACATACACACACATACGCATACATTACAGACATGGAGGCATGTCGTAAGATCTGAGCTGTGTGTAAGGACGTTTACCAAAATACAGCATCTATCCTCTCGTGCAAACCTGCGTATAGATAATACCTATATTACCTTATATGCTACACAATCATGCATCACGCATGTAATCATCGAGTGTTTTATATATTTAAAATGCAAGTTTAACTCTTTTCAGAAACGGAACTGCAAAATCTTATACATCTTACCAGAGGGGTTCCAGAGCAGACATTAAATCGAAGATACATGTCAACTGTATGGGATCAGAGTCAAGTATTTACAGCTGTACATTATCCGACGTCCAGCAATACTGCAATAGTTACGCGGATGGCAGAGCAGGTGTTTCCTGCTCGAGAACTCTAGGTAAATTAAAATGTGTTTAGATGTATTGTAACTCATATTTTTGTTGTTGACGGAAATATCGGTATATAACATTGTAATTATCTATTATATGAACACGGTGATAAAGCCATTTGCCATCTTACTGAATTTCGTAATCAGGACACGACAGCATGACGTTCCCCTCCCAATAACATTGGAATTCTCCTATTTGCCTTCTAATGCGCTGAACTAAATCCGGATCTATTGAAGCGTTTTGGTTTTTTTTCGCCAAATTTCTTATCACCTTTTCCTTTCATTTACTAACAACACCACGCGTTCGCCCTAGTTGATAGTAGGGTTTTCACCCTGTCAAAGATAAATCTAAGTCCTAAAAATGTATCCCTGTAAACTTGAAAAGTAAGAGTGGCTATGGTTAGTCATATCATTTTGAAACAGACCAACGTGTTTAAGGTAGGTTAGAATTGTAGAGATATTGACTGTTTGGAAAAGATGTTTGAGATCTGTTATCTTATAAAAATTGCTCTTGTTGGCTGAACATCAATGCAATCTAATAACAAGTGTTTTACTGTAAATGGTTCGTTACATGTTATATATTGAGACTGGTCTTCGCTTTTCAATTGATAACTTTGGGAAATTTATGAATGAGCCATCAGGAAAAAGGGCAGGGACAACCTCGTCTCGGCGGTTTATTCTATAGCATGGATAATTAGCTCCGATTTAAGGATTTACAGTTTGTAATTTGTTGTATACGCACTGAAGAATGCATTACTGCTTATAAATGTTCCATAAAATCAGATATAATTGTAAAATGAACATCAAACAAACGAAAAGGTAAGACAAATGTCAATTTGAATATAAAAGTGGCTATTGCGGCGTCTACCTTTTGGGATATAACAAACGTTATAGATAGTATAGAGACATATATTGGTTCGATAAGAGATTTAAAGGTTTTTCGTAAATACAGAAACCTCCCTTTAACCACCATGATGTTAGCACTGTAGCATTGGTTTGGATTTATTATGTTTAACGTCCTATTAACAACTAGGGTCATTTAGATTTAAGGACGTGCCTCAGTGTGTGTTGTGTAAGCGTGCAAGTATGCATGTGTATGTATGCCGGAGACAGAGTATATTAGTGTACACGAATCCTTGTGATAGCGCGGATCTGATGACGACTTTATAGTGCTTTATCACTGAAATGCCATGTCGAAGGCACCAAACACAGCATTACGACCGATCACATTATACTAACAACAGGTGAACCAGTTGTTGCCAGGATGCAAATACACCAACACACCCTGCCTCCAACACACAAACACACATGCACAACACACATAGAAGCACGCCCTTAAATAACCTTAGCTGGTAATAGGACGTTAAACAAAATAAAAGCAAACCGATGTTGTCAGTATACAATGCATTTGTGTGTGTTGCTTGATTGGGTTTAACGTCCAGGGTCATAAAAAGACGGTTGCCTAGGGGGACATCGTCGGGAGGAGAAAGTCGATACAAAATTTCTATAAACATGCGTTATAAGGGAATAACTGCATTACAGTAAAGATAAATTGAAATACTTTTTTAGGAGGGAATGTCTATGTTCTCTGCCTGAGCTCACCAACGTAGTACTCAGTATAAACATCCATTGCATTCATAAACAAACTAATATTCATGAACGTTGAATAACCCGTCAAGAAAAGAAGTGATGCCGAGGTGCCTTAGCCCCACCTGGTGCATACGTAGTAACTCGTAGTTAAATCCCCTGACTACGCTTTGTATAAACCTACGTCATAAGGGAATAACACTACATTTCAACATAAATAAATTCACGAATTGTTTTATTTATAAATGAATGCCTGATAACGAGAGAGATTAAACATTGCAATAATATTTGAATTAACAAATCGTTTGATAAACCTTAAAATCATTTGCAAAACAATTAATTATAACGCGAGTACAATGAACGACAAACAAAACAAGAGGCCCAGGGGCCTTAATAGCTCACCTGGTATTTTATTTTCAATTAAAAACCTGCCGAGTACCATACAGGTTTATTACAGAGTACAAGTAAATCCTCCTTTAATACAAGATTAAATTATCTTTGCCCCAAGATAATCTAGAACAAGTTTGGTTAAAATACCTTTATCTGTACAAACTGAGAAGGATCTTTAATTGTTTCCTTTATTTCCACTAACGGGTCCAACCCCTTTGCCCCAGAGGGGGAGGGGGGATGGCTTTGCCTTCCGTTTATACAAACTTGAAGCGCCTTTGTCCAAAGATGCCTTTGAATAAATTTGGTAAAAAACTTTCTATTGGTTGAAGGTTTTTGAATATTTACCTATCCCCGCCCCCTATTTGGCCCCTCCCCCTGTCCCTGTTTATACAATATTGATAACCATTTGGCCAATGATGCTCCAGACTAAATTTGGCCAAATTTCGTTGAGCCGTTAAGGACGAGTAGCGTTTTGAAAGGAAAAGGTTTACGGACGACGGTCGATGGACGCAGACCGTTGCACCACGGCATAAGCTTACTTGGCCCTGAGGGCAAGGTAAGCTAAACAATCGAAGATAATGTTATAGTAAAACAGAATTGTTCTCGCTGATTAGTGTTTTTGTCCGCAACTGTAACTATTATTTGTAAATACTTTTGTTTCTTTCGATTGAACATAATGTTCGAAGAACACGGAATCGGTTTTCCGTTTACCGATTTTTCTGATTATATTAGGAAAACAGTTGTGCGCGATCACCACGGAAGCAGCAGTAGGTAAGAACTATTTTTCGGAGTAGCATTGCTTGTCTAAACCGGCCCTTGAAATAGCCTCATTTAAGATGGCCGCCACCGTGGTCTAGTCTATTGACCTGTATGGCTGTTTTAAACTCAGGAAAATCGGCGAGCTATGTGTGTCACGAATACTTTCTGTTCTCTCCGCGTATACGCTTAATGTGTGAACTGGGTCAAGCTTCTTACATGAGTGTGTTTGTATCTGTACATCGAATTAATCCCGATTGGTGTCTTTTTTATCCCGAAAATAACCCGGATTTTTAAGGAACCATCCGATACTAATTCTAAAGGGTTTGTAGTGAATGCAATACTATTCGAGTGTCCTGTGTTAGCATCCATGGTTTGAGTCTGATGAGCGATATCAAATGGTTTCAACATTACAGCGAGGATGACAAGAGTAATGGTCTATTAACGGAACTCCTTTATAGTCCACTCGTTATCGTCCGTCCGAGATTTAGACAATCACAAATTTGTTTTCCAGAGGAAGTTCTATAATTTTTGCATTGGTAATTTTGTATGAGCGCGCACAAGAGCATGTACCACATTGTGAATCAAAGATGAACGTCATGGACCCGACAATTATAGGCGTCGTACATTGTGTTTACAGCTGCGATAGTACAGTTCAGCTTTGACCGTGGTCTGTTCGAAGTAACAGCAATCTCCCTGATAAAATTGACTACAACGCTAGAACTAATGATGGAAAGTCTTCATTAGTGTCCAAACAGTGCTTGTGAAGCCTGTTGATGTACAAATTATAAAGAGACAGCGTGGAAGACGCAAGATGTTGTTTTTTGTTATTTTTTGTTTTGTTTTGTATTGTTAAACAGTCTATCGACTATGCGAGTCATTTAGGGCCAACAACAATGTAACAAGAGAGAATCACGAAAATTAACACATCAAACCAAAACCAAAAAAGGAATAATGAACTAATATCGAACAAATTGGCTGCACAATATATCATATTTTATTGTAAAGATCAATGGAGTGTAAACAGTCAAATATTAATTGCACAAAAAACTGTACCGAGTAGTCTTTTCATAGACGGTACAGCATAACATTTGTCACGTATTTGTTTGAAATCAGCGCATTCAACCGTGAAGTGTTTGACTGTAAATGGTTGATCGCATGCATGACAATACGGCAGGTCTTTCTCGAAATATAGCCATGAGTAATGTAGGGATGGCCTATGCGCAGTCGCGAGAGGACAATCTCCTCTCTGCGGTCTGCTCTACTTGTTGCACATGAACCCACATAAGGTTGAATTGCAAATAACCTTTTAATTCCTCAGACCATTTATTTTGCCAAATCGTTTTTAAATGCGCAAGATAAATTCGGTATGTCGAGACATACCATAGTCTGTAAAAATGGTAGTTTCTACTCCTGCTTAACGCTCAGCAATTTAGGAGTGGGACGACTGGTTCGCCCGTTGTCGGTATAATGTGACCGGGTGGGGTGTCTTGCTGGGTGTCTACAGCAGTTTTTTTCAGTGAGGTAGCACTATATAGTCGGCATCAGTTCCGCGCTTTCACAAGAAGAAAACACGAACTTATCGCAGCCTACCAAAAGCATACACTACACGCATGCATCTTGCACACAGGAGCGGCAGTCCTTGGATGACCATAGCTGTTAAATAGGGCGTTAAACAATACTCAACCAAACCAAACCATCCATACGCGGCCCGAAGTTTAAATTTACCCGGCAGAACGGTCTTTGTTGTTGCAACACATTGACCGATGATACGAGCAAACGTTCTAGCCTTAACGTCGGGGTTTGATAATGATCTGCGTATATATGCACGTACTTTTCTGATACGTGATTTCGGAACTTAAACGTAAAGACGCACACTTAGGAACATAATCTACTTTAGTGACACAACTTCTGTATTTTTTTTGTAATGAATTGTTGTTTTGTACGTTTGTCGGTACATGGTTGTCCATGCGGAAAGATTCTGGTTCATGAATAAATGGTGTACATATTCCCTCAGAAATCCAATTGACAACAGTGTTAGAAAATCCAATTAAATTCTTCCAAATAGCAATAGTACTGCTTATCAGATACACATCCCTCAACTGCAATTCATCAACACATCAACTGAAACAATGTACAACCGCGGTGAACAAGTGTAACACGCTGTTGTCATGAGCTAACCACGAGTCAATCCTGTGAAGTCTGTGTATCCTGTCTGTTGAAATCACGTGATGGGTTAAATCTGATTCCAAGGTGAAAACTGATTCGCCCACTCCCCCAAACCCCCACGGGTTCCGATGTCAGTATGAGGGGAACGGTTGCCTTCGACGCGATATTTTAAAGAAATATCGCTATAAAAATCATAACATTAGAAGTTACATGCAGCTCTCTGCTCGAATTTCAGCTTAAATTTACAGTGAGCTTGGACTGTTTAACTGGCTCTATCATACTGCTGACTACTGCATTTGTTATGATTTAAAACCTGAAACAAACATGTGACGAATTTTTCAGGGCCGGGACTAATATGATTATTGACGCAGACGAAACGTTAAGTGTTGGTTTTGAAATGGTGTATTATTTTGATCACATTTATGTCACCAGCTACGCCCATTCCGACTGATATAACTACGACGACAGATTCGCCGTTTGCGATCCGCCTAGAAAACGGTCTGTACAACAACAGTGGCCGGGTTGGAGTGTACCATGACGGACAGTGGGGCGGAGTATGCGACTACCTTTGGAATTATAATGATGCCAACGTTGCCTGCAGAATGCTTGGGTTTAGGTACGTATTACCTTTTATCATATATTACTATGTAATTTACGGTATAAAAATGTACATGTTTTGAGTAAAGTTTCTCGTTACTGTTTTATATAGGCGGGGCATTAGGTATTGTTTTCTGGTGTAGTACATTATCTGTATACTGCGTATGTGACACTAAAATAATGTAATACTTATCTTAGCCTATCTATATATATAGTCTTAATGAAAAACATATACTTATATCAAATGAAATGACACGGAGGTAACTTTACAAAGATACAATATTCACACATGCCAAGGAGATCGTCAAGTGCAAAACGTACGGAAATGAAGGGACATTTTTTGTTTGATTTTATATACCCGTCAATATTTTAAACGAGGACTATTTTAGTGAGGGAATCGTTCGTCCGTCTGTCCTAATTTTGGTTTCCGTTAGATAGCATGCTGAAATACTCTACGGTGAGGGTAGTTTGTAACCATGTAGTAGAAAACCCAAAGACCACGACAAAGTCTGAAGTTGCACAAAATCTGTGCATGGTTGATTTGCATACTGGACGCTGATTGTTCGACGGTTCCGCCAGGGGGATAGGTGATCTTGGGGTAACAAAATTCACAGTTCTGATAAAGCACCATAGGACCTTACATCATTAAAAATCCTTCGATCTCAGCAAATCTGGGTCTGGAAAAAAGACTGTTGAACGTTTGAGGTTTAAATCTTATACCATCTAACTACAAATATATGACGATAATTCCAACGAAGTTTGAATTAAATCCTATAAAAATAAACAAAATATACTCAAAAGTGTTATTTCTCTATCAAAACTAAAGAAATGTTTATCCCCCTCCCCAGAGGGGAATGGGTGACCCGGGGGTAGTGAAATTTGCAATTTTAATAAGGCACATTAAGACCTTTCCATCTATGATGGGTATTGATTCCAGCATATTTCGTCTATTTGCAGTATGATCAAGTGTCATTCAGACAGGTATCACAAAGAATATGAAACTAACGTTCATATACCTGCATCTATTGCAAATTTATTCATAAATGCCTGGCTTACTATGTATTGCATACACACCATAAACTGTACATGATTCAATCATACGACGAACATATGACTGCCCCTCATATTGATCAAATGTACCGATTTAAGGGAGATTCGAGACAAATATTATGATGTGCCTGATATGAAAACATTATATCATATAACTAATTCGTCATTCGAATTTTGTACATCTGCGTGAAATTGGTGTATACAATACCATTTTTAATTGTATTGATATTGTTAAGAATATTTCATCATTTCGCTAATAACTTATGTATACATTTGTTAACATTCTACCTTTTAAAGTTTTGTTAGTGTCTTAATTTTTGTAATAGTCCCATCATATTGTTGTCAGGCTAGCAATAGGCTTACTAACTAACAAGAGTAAATTTATTGACAGCAACGGAACAGTAACTAGTCGACGTTATGCATTGGATTCGGCTTGGTATGAATGGTTTGGCAATGAGACGGACCCAGATCTAATATGGATGTATAGCGTACAGTGTTATGGTATGGAGACCAGCCTTGCAGATTGCCCGTTCGACGGATGGGGCGTTGGGAACTGTAAATCTTATTATTCGTCTGCTTATGTTTTCTGCTACGATGAAGGTAATTAACACAGATTGATATAGATTAAACATGTTTTGCTGAATTCCTTTAAATTACAATATATAATTATATTAACTACATGTCCGGTATTTAGTTTGGTTTATTTTCCTTAACGTCCTATCAAGAGCTAAGGTCAGTTAATGTCATGCCTCAACGTGTGTAATTAAAGCCTGCTGTGTGCGTGTGTGCTGGAGGCAGGGTCTGTTGATGTATTGCCACCTTGCGATAGCGCGGATATGATTCCGACTTTGTAGCGAGTCCTCAACAAGATTATCCTGAATGCTGAACCTTTTCGGAGGAAATAACATATTCCATTTCAGGGACTTTGATCTGCCCTGGCCTGGGGGCAAATCTAATTGCAATTCCCATTTTCGGAAACAGCGATGACGAAAAAAAGATGTAGCAAAGAAAGAGAGTGTTGAAATATTATTATGCATGAATTACAAATGTGTAGCAATTTGCATAAATATTCCACTTTTAAACAATAATATTTTTCATATTGGTAAATAACATATATTTTACGAGGTTTAAGTTAATGCACGAGATTACCATTTATGACTCCAACATTTGACTGGATAACAATCAGAAGTTAAAAGATCATCGGTTGTAGATCTGATAAAGATCCTTTTTTTTTATCCTTTTAGGATTTCTCTGAAGTTCTGTAAAATTGATTAGTTTCGATATACATCCGATAAATGTTATACATGCGAGATCAAGTTTCCGTGTTAAGTCAAGATAATAACGAAAATTGTAAAAATGTGTAATAGATACAATATGATTCACATTCAGATGACACCGAGGTAAACGTTCGTTTAGTGGATGGCCCATCTGATGGAGCGGGACATGTTGAAGTTCATTACAGCAGCATTTGGGGAAGTGTATGTTGGGACGGCTTTTACAACATTGAGGCTGAGGTCGTATGTAGAATGCTTGGATACAGGTATATTAAAGTTAAGATTGTATTTATTATGTATATGCGTCTGCATGTGTGAATTGGTTTTATTTTATAGGGTTGAACGTCTTATTAACAGCTAGGGTCAGGTTTGGGGAAAGTTATATTTCATGAGCTATCTTTAGGGGACCACTTACAATACCATAAGGGATCTGAGGTAATCAATCAATTACACACACATGTTTCGAAGTATGAAAGAAGTAATAAAGATATAGATAACCGTAAAGGGAAAGATGTTTTAATTAGATTTTACATAGATGTACATTCATACAAACAACCAATTGTTTGCTGTTTTTTTTCAGCAATGGAGTTGCCTATGGGGATTCATCGTTTTTGTTCACTAAACTACCAACATGGATGGATTGGCTACAGTGTAATGGTACAGAGACAAATATCGCAGACTGTCCGTTCGGTGGATGGGGACAGATATCATCACGTTTGGGTATAGCGACTGCCCTCTGTTATAATGATTGGCAGGGTGAGTTTCTTATTCAATGAAAAACATTGATGAAATGATCAAATCGATTTACAACATGTAGTTTTTCGTTAACATAATTCGTATCAAACATATATCGGGTAACGAATAGAAAACTGTAACACTGACGAAGCAGTACTTAATTAATGCCAACTTCAGTGCTAAGGACACAACAATTTTGAACTTTAGTAGATATTGACTAATTTTTCCTCCATCATGATTTTAGCTAGTGACGAGCAACAAGGGGTCCGCCTCATGAATGATGTGTCCAACACCTCCGGCTCTGTAGAGATTATGTACGGTGGACAGTGGTCTATAGTGTGTGGGAATAACTGGGATGATATCGAAGCTGGAATCGTCTGTCGAATGCTTGGATACGGGTATAGAGCACATACATTAGTAGCATATGTATGATGATATTCTTTAACGGTGAATACAACTTAAACCGAAACGAACCCCCCAAAAGAAAAACATCACCAATACAGGCCAGTTGTTGCATCTGATTTATTTTAAAAACCTAGATTCCCATGATGTTTTAACGGTCCATCCAATCGACAATGTTTGACACTATGGGCCAAACAGTACTTAAAACGACATCTACACAAAGAGATACATTGTCATCAATCCTTCACTAGCATGCTCAATGCTGGTTTGGTTTTGGTTTTATAGGATTTAACGTCTGATTAAGGTCATTTAAGGACGTGCCTCCAAGTAAGGTATGCATTCATGTTACGGCAAATGGGGATAATTGATACGTTGCAGAGGTTAATCAAGACGGAAGAGATCATTACTTCTTGATTTGATTATGTTTAACCTTCTATAAACAGTTTTAAGGACATTTGGGATCGTTATATTTTCTTTCTTATTTCTAACAACCGTTTTGTTTCTAATGCCTCGTTGGCAATACCCCAAGTTGTGGCCAGGCCGGAACACATACCTTATTTCTTAAAAATGCAACGATTATTGCTTTGCCCTGATTAACGTTCGGCATTAGTTGTTATTACAACTGGGTGTTAGTGTAATGTGACCAGGTGGAATACTTTGCGTATATTTGTGTGATAACACTCTTAGGCCGGAATTAGATCTGCATGGCTGCGTTTGGACACTACAGTATAACCTGTCTAAAATAGTCCCTGTCAAATCCGGATCCCTGTCTTAAACGGCTGTGGTCCCTATATAATCATATAAGTAATTAAACTCTGTATAAACCGGACCCTGTTCATTCCGAAAACCGACGGTGTTTCACAAAAGTTGGCAAAGAAATCCATCTATAACTAAAAACAAATTGTTCATTCCGGTCCTGAAATTTCCCTCGGCCAGCTACAATCTAAAGCAAACACATTCTAAACAAATTAGCGCTATCAAATGTTGGGTCGCCAATCATTTGTATTATATACTGTATATTTTGATAATAATTAAACGTTGCAATTAATTCATTTCTCTGTTGTTTATGTTGACATATATGTATACAGATCGTATGCAAAACACGACATTTATGCATTTTCAAAAAATGACATGCCGATCCTGCATAAATCGGATACCTGTGTAAACCGGACAAATAGTTTGGTCCTGGTGACATCTGGTTTAGACAGGTAATACTGTACCTATATTACGAACGCTTATATGCTACAAAACCAAGATCAGCCATGCTTGTAATCAATCTTTAACAGTCAAGCATTTGTTCATCAAGTGTTTTATATCTTTAAAATGCAAGTTTACTGCTTTCCAGAAACGGAACTGCACAATCTTATGGATCTTACTATAAGGTTCCGAGAGAAGACATGAAAGTGAAGATACATGTCAACTGTGTTGGATCAGAGACAAGTCTTTACAACTGTAGATTTAGCGACGTCCTAAGATACTGTTACATGGATGGCAGAGCAGGTGTTTCCTGCTTGGGAGCTCTAGGTAATTTTTAATTCAATTTCTGATAACTTTTTCCTTTCGTAACCTGTCAACACCACGCGTTCGCCCAAGTTGATGGTAGGATTTTCACCCTTACCAAGACGAACCGAAGTCTCATTTTTTATCCCTGTACATGTGAAAGGTAAGAGTTGCTATGGTTAGTTATATCATTTTGATCAGACCAACGTGTTAAAGGTAGAACTGTTTTAATTGGGGTTAACATCCTCGCAACAACCACGGTCGTATAAGGACGGGTGCCAATAGGGAGACATCACCGGGAAGAGAAACTAGACATACAACGAAAGAGGACAGGAACAATAGGAAACGAAGAAGTCCTCAAGTTATGCAATAAAGCTTGCGCCCACATTAGTCGCCTGTCAATGTAAACATGCATTTATTTAATGTCCCTTGAATAGAAGACAAAGTAGAAACAGCCCCCGATTCTGCAGGGGGGAGGGGCGATTCTGAAGGGGGGGCGATTCTGAAGNCCCCTCCCGAACATGAATGGGTTCCGTCGTCAGTATAAAAAGTTGACACGCAAAAATTACATTTCAAGCATACAGGCATTAGTAACGAGCTCGAAGATATGTACTGTATATACACTTACTGCTAAAATAACTCTAAACGCAATAAATCAAAATCATGGATATTGTTTTGTGCGTTCAGAAGTTTGCTTTCTCTTTACTTTGCCAGCCCGAATCTCCATTGATAAATTACGAGAAAGCAAAAACTGAAAGTTCGGAAAAGCAAAATTCGAACGAAAGGGCGACTAATGTAGTGGATCCATGAAAGGGGATACTAAGGATTGCTGTTTATTGCCACTTGGGGATCCACCAATATTAGCAGCTTGATTTATTATACAATTTGATACACTGTATCTAAAGTATTTGAAGTTCTGTTTTTTCTTCAAAAACTGTTTCATACAGTATATAATTAAGAAGTAAGCATAAGTAAATAACGATTTACTAAAATATATTCATGATTTAATTCTAAATAATGATGTTTTATACTTTTGAATACATTTTTTATCTAAAGTTGATGTTTTTCAAAATATACTATTATATATTCATGATGAAATGCAATAATAATTATTTTTAACTTTCACAAATTCATTTTGTATGAAAACTAATAGTTTTCAATATTTACTATTATGTAGTCATGATGAAAAGAAATATGTCTGTTAATACCTTTCATTTTGCAGATGTTCAACTACTCATACAATCACAATTGGTGCCACACCATGATATGTCACACATCGTACACATGAACATTGTACAAATGTCAAACGAACATCACATACATAAACATCAAACACGTGAATCATATCCAATGCAAGGCAGAACTTAGTCGGTACAATTAAACGTGCCAGACCTCATTGTTAATTCTTTTGTCATGTGACGTAAAAAGTATAAAGTCGTCTACGTCTGTTTTGAGAGAGAGTGTATCTGAAATGTTCGTCTTGTAACGTCTGTATCGTTATGTGATGTCAGTCAAATATTTTCTTAAGTTGTAATGTGCTTTATAGTATATTGTTTTTTTGAAAATTTAATAATTTGTAAATATTTCATTTATATATAATAATGTTTTCATTCCAAATTTAGTAACATATAATTTTTATAGAATAAATACCTACAAAAGACAGGTGTGATATATAGATAATGTGTACTATAATAAATTGTATTAGGGAATTTAATGCTTTGGACTATTTCATTTATATCTAATCATGCTTTTATTGCAGTTCAGTAACCGATCATTTTTTTAATCTGTAATATGATATTCATAAGGATAAGGAGCATCTCAAAGAATATATATCTCCGATATATCGATCTCAGTGCTATTGTAATGGCTTACCGATAAGTGATTGCATTATGTTTTGCATTTATTTTACATTGATACACATGTTTTGCTTACATTCCAGCTGCTGTTAAAACCTGTTCTGTACTGAACTCTGTCACAATTGTCCTTATAAATAATCTTTGTAGGATCCTCTCGCTAATGTAAAAATAAATACTCTTTGTAGATGTTTTATGTATGCCTACAAAGCATTTTTTCTTTTGGGTTTATAGAAGAAATTTTACTTCAGGCGTGACATCAAAACCATATATTAGACCTTTAATGCCAAATATGTATCCTGCTTTGCTTGAGTTGTCATACGGAATGATACAAACAATGATACATCTTAAATGACTATATATAAATTAATAAAAATAGTAAATACAGCATGTGCGTTAATGAATATTCGTTTACATGAGGAAATAGCTGCTGCATGTTCATGGTTTGTATTAAATTTGTCAGCTTTATTATCCAGACATCAATCAGAATAATTGATAAAATCTGTATGACAACTCAACCACAGTAAAGATATGTATTCCTATTCCAAATTTGGGCCCCAAGTAGAACCACGTCCTCGCCGTGGGGTCTGGAAACATACAATCGATCGTATGGCCAAGTGTTCTACATGTTTAAATATAGGTTTCAGACCTGGTCGTTGAAATATTTTTTCTCTACTAAAAACGGTGCCAAAGTTTTTGTTACATCAATTCACTTCATCTGTTTATGATAATTTCAATCTGATTTTGTTCCAAACACATCCACCTTTTCCCTAGAACATTATAGGTATTTACTGTAACATATTTGTTTACTTTCAGAGGATAAACTCTATGCTTGAATCGTACAAGTTGATGATACATTTGTATATCCAAGACTTTTGTAAGAACTTGGCATAGTGATCCCAAAAGGATCTTGGCGCCTAGTATAGGAAGATCTCTTCATTCGACAGTCTTGTCAACAGTAAATGCACATATCTTTTAAATTTCGATGACCAATTTTATACAATTAGGTATGACGTGGTGTCATTGTTTACGTCTTGAGAATTAGCAATGACAACTTTGAACTCTGAAAATACAAGATAGCTGCCTGGTGGCCATCTCAATTTTTTCAATCAGTCTCGAAATGAAATACACAACTATAGATCAAGGATAACCTATACAGTTGTAACAGGAAAGATAATAGTGTGCATCCATCGGGGATCGAACCCTCGATCTCCAGGTTTCTAGCAGGACGCTCTACCACTGAGTTAAAGGGAATTTCCCTCTAACTCGAAGCTAGAAGGCGACCTTAATCCTATGTATAATTATAACCTGCCACACTTCTCCCCCCTTTTGAATGATGTTCGCCCTGGAACACAACCAACCAGGTTCTAACTCCATGTGACCACAGGGAGGACCACGGACATCATTGGTAACAGGAAAGTAAAAAGTGTGCTTCCAACGGTGATCGAACCCTTGATCTCCAGGTTCCTGGTCGGACGCTTCTTTTTTCCTTGAGAATGTATCAAGCATTTATTGGTCCAGCCATAGGGCCTCAGGGTTTGGTACCCCGAGGTTCGTCACAATGCATATAACTATATTTTCAATCAATAACAACTAATCACATATGGTACATGCGTTTTAAGTATAGATTTATCGCGTGACGTATTTGTTAGACCAATTAACACAATATAAAATCAATTTGAACATCACCATCTCTCAACAAAATAACGTCATCGTTCTTAGTGAAATATTTGGCAAATAATGCACTATCTTTGTCTTTGTTGTATAATATGTGAAAATATACTTTAAAAACCGTTTGAAGGTGAATGTAAAAAACTTCACAATATCGACATTTCCTTCTTTACACATTACAAGATTTCGCCGCTTATATACACAATACCTTGCAACACTCAATGTTAAATTAATCATGTAAGTGTTTACTTTCTTAAAAATAGCATTTTGCACAATTTTAAACTGTACTTAATGACTTCAATAGGATAATTAGGTACATTTACAATGCTAAACACTTGACCCACCCGTTCACATGGAAACATATTTCCCCAAAACCTGACCGCTATCGGCGCGACAAAAGTAACATCTACCAGTACGTTGTAAATATCACGTGTAGAACGTGGTGACACGCGAACTCCGTCTGATCTTTGTAGTGTTACAACGGGATCTACCACACGCGTTTGATCGTAACTGTGACTTAAAACAGTGTTCATTACTTTCTCAGGGAAACTCTTAAAAACTTGGATGTACTGTGATGATACTTCTTTTCTTGGTATGTCTAGATTATACTCGTAGACAATTCCAATGATAGAGTGTACCGGAAGTAAACTTGGGATCACCTCGTCAGTATAATCTTTGACTAGTCTCGTTCAACCCGCGCAAGCTACGCCGAATAGAGAGTCTGGTCAAACACAGTGCTTTCGTTTTGTGACATCATAACGAGGTCTACCGAGATTCTGGTAAATTTTTTCATTGGTCAAAGGTTGACACACCCTTTCTAACTTTTGAAGTCAGAATTTGAGTGGCCCAAAATTACATTGAATAGTTTAATTCCTTAAACAATTACCTGTTTTCACTATTAACGAGAAAAATGTAAGAAAATGCTTCAAAAAGAATGATTTCATGTATTTTCATTCGATATTTTACAATAATTCATGAAGCTAACAAGGCTATTGATACAAGTCAACCCAGATTACCTGAGTGAGAACTTCAAGGTGTTTTGAATGGTGTACAGGTAAAATCTCACTTGCTTTGCATGCTTTTTTCAAACTTCAGTCAGCCTTGTTGGCTTTGTGCTTAGATATGATTTAATCAATGGAAATATATGGCATTATTCTGGAGATTTGACACATTTTTTTACATTGTTCTCGATAAAAGTGAATACACGGGTACTTCAGGAATGCATGTATAGGCAACTTTTTTCATTAATTTCATTTTTCATTGAAATGTTAAAGGCGTTGACACGAACGTAGAAATACTGCCCTCTGGTGATGATAATGTTAATGCATTGTGTTTGACCAGACTCTTGAATTACAAGTGATCAAGCGTCTGGTTGAACGAGACTAAATCTTTGAACATATTATTACATGAGAGTTTAGCCTTGCTTTGAAAAAGAGGATTAAGATATATAGGCTGACAATATACGTTAACACTATTCCCCCAAATTCTAAAAACTTAAATATATCCGCCCATGCTAACAAAATGTCTCAATAAAAACATGGAATTCCTTGTAATTGTGAACATTATAAATTAAAACACGAACATGACAACCACAGTTTCGTATTCGCTATCAAAGATGAAAAGTATTTTCCTGTGTCCTTCCATAACATATTATCATTTCTGAGTAATCTAAAAGCGAACTTAATTCTAAAGTTTTTCATTTTCAAATCGATATCGGGAAACTGTAAATCTTCTTTAATTTTTGAACCTATTATAGTCAAATATCTTTGAGATCGTGCGGTCAAAATTTTACATATAGAAATAATTTTACCTTTCCAATTGAGATTCTCGCGCATTCTTATGTCCGATCCTAAATCCACAACAAGTACAAGTATTATTTTTTTTTTAAAGTTTAATATGACACGCCTGTGCTTCTGTTTTGTTAATTTACCTGTACCAATACACAACACTTCTGTTTCTGTTAGTTTACCTGTACCAATACACAACACTTCAGTTTCTGTTAGTTTACCTGTACCAATACACAACACTTAAGGTTTTTCAACATTAACTCCTGCTCCAGATAATTTTCCGTATGTTCTTAAAACAGAAAAAAACTTCATTTATGCTAGTCTTACTAAATGAAGTCAGTGTTGTGTCATCAGCATGCTTGAATACCTTAGCCTCTGTATTTGACATAGGAACTGACTTCTATTGATATCATTTTTTTTTAAATTGAAAGACCAAGAGGTTCCGCTGTTAAAACACACAACATCGCGGATATAGGGCATCCCTGCCTTGCTGAATTTAATATAAAAAAATATCGAGTTAAAAATCCGCTGCATTTAACACTGCTATGAATGTCATTATAAAATGTTTTAATGCAATTAATAAAATAATCCCCGTAACCAAACTTCTGAAGAATCTTTACCATATAGTCATGACTAACTTGATCAAAAGTTTTTTCTTGATCAATTTTTAAGTAAATATCCTTCTAGTTTATCATATTCTGCAAGATCAGTGACATCACGAATACAGGAATACACGAATACAGATATCTCATTACCCTACGTGATGGAGATCTGGCAATCTAATTAATATCAGATATCTCATTACCCTACGTGATGGAGATCTGACAATCTAATCAATATCAGATATCTCATTACACTACGTGATGGAGATCTGGCAATCTAATCAATATCAGATATCTCATTATACTACGTTATGTAGTGTAATGAAAGATCTGAATTTTAATTAGATTGTATTCCGCCCCATAATTCCACAACATTGGTAAAGGGAGATAATAATGGATAAAACATTTTTCAGTCTGTTTAATATTATCCTGGCCAAAATTATATGATCAACATTAAGGAGACTTATAGGTCTCCAGTTCTTAAGCTAATTTTTGTCGCCTTTGTTTTTATAGACAAGACTTACGACACCAAGTGTCATCGATTTCGACAACTCGCCGTTCTTTTCAAAATTAGAAATAAGACGACGAAAAACATCGTTCAAAACGTCATACCATTTATAGTAAAATTTCACCGTCAAACCATCTTGCTTAGGTCTTTTATTATGGGCCCTTTCCTTTTAAGCAGTTTGGACCCATTCCTCTTTAAAAGGTAAATCTAAAAACAGTCTTTTTGAGATAAATAAATTTTCTCATGATTAACTTTAACACACGAGGACTTTCTATAAAACATGTATATTTCATCCAACATTGGAATAGTATCAAGTATTACATCTCCGTAAGTTGTTCTGAAGTGTAAAATACTGTTCATTCTTTTATTTTTGTAGCCTTTTCCCAATTGTCGGAGATGTTTTTCTATTTTTAAACTTTAAATTACCCTACCAAATAAGTGGTTCATTTATATACAATTCTTCACGTTTGGCATTTAAAATCATATTTTTAATCTTATCAATATAATCAGTTTCATATAAAAAATGGTAATCAAAAGTCCATATACCCGGACCTCTCTCTACCTGACTTAAATCAAGTTTATTAGTTACTATGCTTTGATCACTACACGACGTATCATTGTATTAGACATTTACGTACAGTAGCCGATAGATGTCTCTTTATCAGAAAATAGCGTATTCTAATCTGTGACACACTTTCATTTCTAACTTGTTTTCTGAAAAACACAGAACAATCACGATTTCTGCTCCTCCATATATCGTTTAAACTAAAATCATTCATAATACTTTTGAGTTTCAATACACAGTTATCCTCAAAATGCCTTTTTAGCCAACACATGTCAAGTTGACTTAAGGTTGTATTTAAATCACCAGCTATAATAACGTTATCATAACCTTTTTGCAACATTTTTACTAACCTATCTAGAAATATAATTCTTTCCCGATTAGTATTCGGGGCATATATATTAAATATATTAATATTTTTTTCATCAATTTTCATTATTACCCTTAGCAACCTACCATCTATAATTGAATTGCTATCAACAAAATAGTCCTTAATATCATTTCTGAGCAAAACAGCAACACCCTGCCGACCATTATAACTATTGGAAACAATTATCTTACCGTACCATTTACTCTTAATCTGCGCTAAAAAAGTTATCAGACCAAAATACAACATCAGCATATTTCTTTTCAAACATTGTAAACACTTTCAGTACGTTATCTACATCCTTCAGACCAGTACAGTTAAATGAATATAAACTTAACATTAGCAAAAGTAGACAAATATAAATAATAGAAGCCATTATTATTTTGTATCTTTTTTTTGAAAGTCTTTCCCTTATCCCTTCTCCCTTTCTGATGAATGCTTGGAGAAGGCGCCGATTTACATTTCGTTTTCTGTCTGTGCAGCGTATAAGCCACATTCTCGTCAGCACTCATATCTATATCACTTGGGGGAGAGGGGATATCTGTACATTGAGATCCCTCCTCCTCATTATTACATACATCGTGACTCACATTACTGTTTATTATTTCATTATCAGGGTCCTTTGTACCTCGCTCAACAGGAGAAATAACCGAAAGTGAGGTCTCCTCCCCTACGGACAAACCATCTGCCAATTTCACCCCGTCTCCCGCCACACTGGTGCCATTCACCGGCCCCTCCAGGTCACGGTCATCACCATTATCATCCTTCTCCTCATCTTCGTCATCACCATCAATCTCGATATCGTCATCACCGGTACCATTGCTACTTGCATTGTAAGTTTTATTTTTACACACGCAAATAAATGGTTCAAATGTGTCACAGGTGTAACATACCCTATCCCCTCCTCCTCACTCTCATTGTATCGCGTACACGGTGGTGTTGTGCAATTCCTGGCAAAGTGACCTGTCCATTACACTTAAAGCATGAACAATCAGTTCAGTCCTTAAATACATGATCCAAAGCGTAACGCAGATTGCACATCTTTTTATAATTGTCATGTACAAACGAAAATAGGAATTGCCCAGCTTTACCGTGTAGGGAATAGATCGTATTTCCGGGGTAACCGAACTTTTACAAAACGTGTCCCGTCCGCCACTGTCGTGTTCGGATTAAAACTACGCTTCACGGGCGACAATACCGTAACACCCAGATGTCCGAGTTTCGAAAGAATCTCTTCATTGTCAATATATGCCGGCACATGTAAAAAGGATACCATCAAACAGAGGTTAGCTATCTCTGATGCCGGACACGCACGGACGCCTATTGCGAGTCCGTCCGATATCAATAGACCCGAGGCCTTATCGTCAAGTGTGACTTCAAAACAGTCATTTCCTTTCGGAACGCAAGCGTATACAGTTCCAACACACCAATTACATTCATTTGCAGTAATTGCATCTTTAGCTGTTATCAGCGTATTGTCTCCAACATTCACCAAATAGGAACAGTATTTTCTGTAGATCCGTGAACAGTCATTTCGGTCGCCCGGGCCCCGTTACTGCCGGCCCGGAATGACCCAACATAATATGGCAAAATGAGAACTAATATCACATTTTAACATTTTTCAATATGTCACAAAATATATCAATAGTATGCGTACAACTAATAAAGAAGGCTGATGTCCTAATTACCAGAGATTACCGTCGATTTCTTTCCCTGGATGTCTATTCGATATGGATCAAAACCGGAAGCTAAAGGGAAATTATCTCTAGCTCGAAGCTAGAAGGCGACCTTAATCCTACAAACATGCCACACATGTATATGTGATTTGAGAAAGATTTAATTTGAAATTTCTGAAACTCTTCAAAAGTAGCGATAACAAACTCAAAATCAAGGTGGCTATCTTAGTTTTTCCCATCAGTTTCAAACAAATATGTGCAGTGAGGTACCTAAATACGAGAAATATTTTAGATAACTTTTTGAGCATAAGCAATACCAAACTGCAACTCTTAAAATCCAAGATGACTGCCTGGATAGCTTTCTCTACTGCATTGTCCCAATATATCAGGGTTTTTTTCCTTTTTATTTAGACTTGCATAAGAAAATTCAAATCACTTTAAAATGTAAATATAAAAAAATGTAACATTCATGAGGTCATAACAACATGATGACAATGAATCGCGAAAGCGAGACGGGTGCTGTGCAAGTAGAGTCAGAAAAATTGCAATTCGGTAAGGGGTATATGAAAAGACAGTCGGGAGCAAACTGAACTTGGTATCTACATGTAGTGTACTTTGTAGTACAAACATATTGATTAAGGAATTGCACTAGACAAAACAGTGATGTACACTCCAGTTCACTTCAGTGTTAAATCTAATGCACTAAGGTATACACTTATAAAATGGTATTGGGAGCCCTTACTGTACATGGAATAAAGTATATTAAAGATGTGAAAATCAGTCAAGCATTTTTGTCTTGCGCACCACTGAACTAGCATGTATGAATTAGAAGACAAATTTGTATCCCATGGCAAGTTACACAGTGGACAGTATCACAGACTAGCGTTACACGAATTGATGTCTGATATAAGTGTTTTACACTACCTCATTCCGTCAAATGGTTTACAATATCGGTGTTAGATAAATAGTCGACACAAATTGATATTCGTGTAACACACCTTAGCATCTACTAATGGGCAACTGAACCATGATAGTCTTTTGTACCTTGATACTTTGACAGTTTGGGCCCGGGCCCGCCCCCAATGGCTGAGGTTCGGAGGTAAAAGAGATCAAATTGGCTTAGATTAAAAGATCTTATCCAGACCAAGATATGCTGTACAAAGATAGAAGGGTCTTAAAGCACTTGATCACCTGGAGATGGGGTAAAGTTGACTAAAGTTGTATAGAAAAATGATACTTTTCGGTATATTTGTTTCATTTCCAAATTCAAATCATTAAAACTTGATAGACATTATAACTTCGAAATGACAGTTTGATACAATGACAGTTTGGGCTTTGGCCATCTTTGAATTCTTCTCCAGACCAAGATATGGCTGCATTGACTTAAGTACTATCCCTGAACAAGCAATGTCTGACACATGTACAGAAGCAAAATTATTATTTCAAGAAGAATAAACTGGAAAAGATTAAAAATAATGCCGTACACATCCATAGTGTTATATTATAAATAACTTTGACAAATGCCTGATTGTTCTCTTCAACAACACTTTGTATGTCTGTCGTTTATCATGTTTATTACTTTATTAACAAAATATGCGACCTTTTAATCACAAAAAGCTCAAAACAAATATCTTATTCATATCGACTGGTGTTAAATTTAGATGATGTAGTCAACTCACAATTTTTGTTTTTTTACCATTTAGTTGTATGTAATTTATGTTCAGTATAATAAGATGCAAAGCTTCCAAATGACAAATTGCAATACATAAAAACTCTTCATTGGTAAATCAATATATTAGATATTTGATAGGACAGCTGTTTTCGTTTTAGCCAGTAATCCTACTCATATAAATCCCCCCAAAAATCCAACAGCTCGTTCTACTGTAATAGGAAAGAAGAGGCAAGATGAGGTGCCCAAGCTGGGATCGAACCAACGACCCCAGGTTCCGTAGGCCAACACTCTACCACTGAGCTAAACGGACATGTCCTGTCAGCTGACTGAATGTAGTTCAAGTTACTTTGTTGTAAAAATTATTTTTTTTCATTTGGCAACATCGATAACATCAGTTTTCGCATAACTCCAGTGACCGTTAAGGCCCATGGGCCTCTTGTTAATATTCATCTCATAGTGAAGAGTAAATCTTCGCAAAATCTTGTAAATGTTAAGGTACACAAAATGTAAAAAAAACAACATAATATAAATGGCTTTTAGTTATACAGACTAAAAGTGCCATTGGTTGTTTAAATGAAGAAGTTAGTATTTGTCCGAAGTTTAAGATACGTCTGATAAGTATGGTTAACACATAGACCAAAGCAATAAATAAAAAAATTAAAAAAAAAACATTTAAACTTCAAATTTATGATTTTATTCTCTCATGGTGTTTTCTTTAAATATTGCCTCTACATACAGGAATCCAACTCTGGAGAATATCTTTCTTCATCATGGAAGATTAATTTCCAAGTGTCACCATCCACGAGTCGGCCTCCAAACTGCATTGATGTTATCTCCAGAAAAGACGAAATAGACCGGATGCATAGCAGCATTAGCACACGACTGAAAAGGGAATATTTGTAATTGATTAGAAGAGCAATGCATGACGATTTTTTTCAATATGTACATCTTATCAACAAAAAGTTCGTTCGGCCATTGCCAGTATAATGTCACCGTTCAGAAAGCAGTGATTGGTACCTTTGAAAAAGTACTGCAGAGATACAATTTATAAAACCGCCATCAGATCCGTGCTATCACAGGAAGGATAGTACACCAACATACCCTGTCTCAAGCACACATGGGGGCACGTTCTTAAATGATGTAAGCTGTTGATAAGATGTTACAGTCTGTACAACGAAACAACCAACCAAATCTTAAACAATATTATAAGGAACATTGGTTTCCTAGCAATTGATTACATTGTGTTATAGGAGTATATTCCAAACAAAAATAAATGGAGTAATCTCAACAGACTATCAGTTGTCATTAAATTATCGTAGCTTTTAACTAATGTTAAACCCTATTAAAGCAACCAAAACCAATTGTACAGGGCCATGCGATGTAAAATTCGGAAAAAATGTAGGTGCGCAAAAAGAGAAACATTAACACATCCTAGCTACGACATTCCAGAGAATATATAATACAACTATTCTGCTGGGAGCGAAACAGATTAATCTTTAAGATCAGCTAAGAAGCTTAGAGCATACTTGTTTGTGACCACGTTTGTAATCATGTACATTACGTACATTTGCACAGTTGTGATGTATATTAACCGAAATGGTTACTTTGTAATAAAGTGCTTTAACCAAAATGTCAATTTTAATCCCCACGTCACCAATTCCCGTTTGAAAGGATTAACGAATTATGGGTAATATAGATTGGTTTGGTTTGGTTTAATAATGTTTAACGTGCTATCAACATCTATGGCCATTTAAGGACGGCCTCCCTTGTGTGCAAGATACATGCGTGTAGTGTATGTGAGTGTGTTTTGGGAGGCTGCGATATGTTCGTGTTTGTATCCCTGTGATAGCGCGGAACTGATGCCGACTTTATGGTGCTTCCTCACTGAAACATACTGCCGACGACACCCAGCGGGACACCCCGCCACTTCTCAACATTTTGTCGGCTGACCCACAGTTATACATTGTATAAAGACTCCGATGACCGCAAACGCTACGTGGGCCCATTTTTTAAATGAAAGGTCATTTCCTGCGACGTATGCGTATGTCTATGTTACATTGTAAATACTTTTTACACCTACGTGATAAGGAAAGATAAACATCATTTATTCAATTGGATGTATGGAGAAATCAATTTTCCCTTCCGTAGCGGCTACCTTCCCAAGTTCTTGACTCAAACCAACAAGTCTGAATCGCAAGACGCATCTTACGATATAGTCATTATGCTGATAAATAAAAGTTTATGTTACAAAACGGCCAAAACAGTCGTAAAATAAATACGATTGCTAAATATTTTGCCACATACTATCACAACGTAACATGCAAGCTATTGCCTTTTTTATTGTGGGTCATCATCATGAAGACCACAACACGCTACACGCAAAATATGAATGATTGTCTTATGGTTGAAATTGACTAGTCTTTTTTAACACATTTGTCTCGAAAATAGCAATTATTTGAGCATACCCGATAGTCGTCTACAAAAGAAGCTAAAATATGCATTCCTGATTTTAGACTTTGTGGTTATTAACAAACTCATCATTTTTATGACTTGGATACATTTGATAAATTTGAGAATACGTTGATACACTGAAGCCTCATAAGCTGTAAACCAATATTGTTATCAAACCGCATCTTGCATTTTGGAGTTATAATTGACATCAATGAAAATACTTCACTTTGGAAAAATATTCAGTTTTGATCTCATTGGTATATTCTGCTTTATTATAACTCCGCGTTAGACGCCTTCTGAGGGGATTTGATAGAACAAAGAAATAGCACACAAACGTAAAATTAAAATAGAGCTTAAGATGAAAACGATCATACTAAAGATAATGAGCACATCTGCACCAGCACAAACGTAGACATGTACAAAGAAACATATATAAATGTACTGTACCGGAGTTTCGGGTTGTCTTGAATCATCCAAGGACCATTTGGCAAATTGTTTTCCATCCCGTCTTTACTTATGGCGAGAAATCAACAGTCGATTATCAGAATGTTTAGGTCAACTTTGTGGCCAATCACTCTGGTTGCAACACGCCCAGCAATATCATCCATCGAACATGAACCGATGCCCTTTTGCATGAGATCTGATAACATACAAACATTATAGTTAATAGTAATGTACTGAGTTATGTTATTTTTTGTCAACCATTTACAGTATGACAGCATATGGAATAAATCACATTCTTTATAAACCATATTGACTGGACGTAAAACAATATTGAGATCGAACTGTATTACTGTGCGATGCAGTGATTGTGTGGTTTAAGTCACTTATCGACAGAAATAAATGCTGCAGTTTACCAGGGATTTTTTTTTCTTTTTCAAACAAAACGACTTTCAGAAGTTTTAATTCCACAACAATACACCTCGAAATATATTTTCCTCCATGAATAGTTTCTTCGATAAAAACATCATCATCAATCTGATCTTTCGATTTATATGTATCAAATCTTACCGTAAAATACATAGTTGCCAGGAGAAAATTCATCCAGAGTTGACATAGATTCATCTGGATTGGAGCAGCTAGGCGTCGACCCCAAGCAGACAACACCGCAACGTATTCCTCGTTCCGAAAGCCTATGGAAAGCAAAGGATTTATTTAAATATTGACAACCAAATGATTAAAGAACATGCCTCCATGTGTGTAACGTGTATAGATAAGTCTACTAAGAGAGACAAAAAGCTAAATGTCATCCCATTAAATGTTTTAGAGCACCAGATATAATGTTTTAGAGCGCCAGATATAAGCGGTCAATTGCGGAGACATGAACATAATTGGCAGAATGAGTCCATTGTTGTATTTCAAATACGTTTGACTGCAACGTGAATGCTCTGTTTAAGACTTTTAAATCTTTGTGTTTGTAGCATCAGATAAAAGCAATACTACAATTATTATTATTTGATTCTTAACGGCACATCAATACACAAGTGATCATTAAAAAGGACATAACCATATTGAAGGAAATGACATCAACCAAACGAAAAGGTAAAAGACAATCGTCAATTGGAAAAGTGGTTATGGTTAGTTATAACTTTTTGAACAGACCCACATGTATGCATGACCAAATCCTGGTGGTCTCTATAGCTGGGATACCATTCACCGATTTTAAGTTTTACAGAGTGATGTGTTGTCTGCGCTTTGATTACTATTACTAGGCGACTTTGACCTTGGGAAATACGTTATAAATGGTTTAAAATCTGTAGAATGAAGTAGCAATACTACAAAAAGAAATAAACAGTACTTAGTGCGTACCTTTGTTTCACTTGAAGGAGTATTTTTGTACTCGCTTTTCCGGCTGCTCTGATCGCCTCACCGCCCTTATCGTTTTACGTGTCGCCGTTGTGGCAATACATACCTTGGAATGACATGACATCACTATTCGAACGTGGATAAATTATGACATCATCACTTTCCCAGGAGACACCAGCTGTATAATTAAAAAATACTTTTCTGTGACAAATATTGTACAAGATATTTGAACAACATATTGATAACATGGTTATATATATCTTGATTAATATACTGTTATCATATTTGTTTTATAGTTCAGTTTATTCACTTCCTGTTTGCGAACTGTTCAACCTTGCACTTCTTCTTCTTTTGATTGTTGAGTCAATACCTGCGTATATCGATGTATCATTTTAATTATTGAATTCCTAACGGCCAATGAACACAAACGGGGCTAATAGGACCAATAACAAGCATTCACAAGGAAATGACATTAAACAAACAACAGCTGGGACACCATTCAACCGTTACAGGTTTCCAAATAGTGTAATTTTAATTAAATTGGATACTGTCACTGTCAGTATCTCGCAACGATGACATAACGATAGTTCAAAAAACAAAGAGAATAATTCACGTTCACAATTTAATAGCACTACAAAGATATTACGATATAGATATATTGACTGTAACTTACTTCTATGATACTTGACATCAATTTCAAGGTACATACTCAAGGGTTTCTTGCCTTCAGGTGGCATGGCCTCCAGAGTCTCATACCCTGCCTTGCTGTCAAGCATCACGTGAAATGCACTCAGCTTGTTGTGAAGCTGATGACATCTAAAATAGTGTAAATGTCAGTATTTAGTGATCACAATTGAGGTCTTGTGAAGACCGATGTGTAACTAGACACTGCCGAAAAATAGATAATCCAGGCAGAGAAGGAAAAGCTCACAAGTGTTGTTATTGGGACAGCAATTCGCGGTTTCTACAGGGTCTCTTAAGCATAAATCAAAGAAGGAAGTCCCGTTTTTACAGGATGCTCCTGTATTAATCTCCATTTACAATAACATGCAAATGGATACAACAGAAATATGCATTGTCTGAACATAAAGAGAATTTCTCTCACATACAAAGGGTATGGGAATATTTTCGTTTTCTCGTAGCTCATATTGGTTTGGTTTAGTATTGTTTAACGTCCAATCAACAGCTATGGTCATTTAAGGACGGCCTCCCCTGTGTGCTAGATGCATGGGTACATTGTAGCTCATAAAACATTTACTTATGTACAATTACAGTAATATATCAAACGAATGTTTTGATGTGAATGTTTCAATAGTTCCTTTACAAACTGGCTTGCATTATTGCATTTTCATATAGTCACCATGTTGAAAGTTTTTAAATCTTTGGGTTTGTTTTGGTTGGTGATACTTTTAATTATCTTGACTTCATACGGAGACGTACTACATGTATTCACCATATTAGAAATATGTATAACTACCAGAAGATGAAAACAACAATAATTTCATAAATGAGGTTTAACATTATGTCTAATTATACTAGACCTTGGTATTTTGTTACTCGTTATAGGAAAGGCATAAAGAATGTCATCAACTCCATTATCTGCATACGTGTCTGCATCTGCCAATGTAGAAACGGCAATACATCTTCTCCGTTCACCACTTAGAATATCCGCTGCTTCCCTAAAGGTTGATGGTGTCATGTTAATATTAATGGCTTAAATTGCCGAGCCGTAAAACAAAAAGAATAGCCCAACTTTGTGCAATAAATGAAATAACCCCGCTTTCAATTTGGGCGATTGAAGCAAAGTGAAACAAGGTATTTAGCTCATTGTCTTGAAATAGTCGATGCATACATATACTTCTTATATTGTCTTAAATTTACAGAGAACATAAGACATTATGGAGGCGCTAAAATCATTGCAAGGATATTACACGTATCTATTCGCTGGAATTTATATAACTTTATAATTTGAATTAGTAAAACTGCCATTGAAAGTGTAATTAAGTTAGTGTTGTTTAGGTATATATATATATATATATACAGTTTTCACTCACGCAGTTTTGTGAGTCTTTGTATCCGGTCGTAATTGTACCCCAAGACGGTCGCACATGTCTTGCATCACCTGTGCGTTCCTTTTTACCTTGTCCAAGTCTACTAGGAAACACGAGGTCGGCAAACTCAGAACTTGATCTGGCATTGCCGTTTACTGTTACAAATAAAAAGTGTTATTATCATCCACATGCTAAATATGTTCTATGTACATGTTTATCATTACCATCTAGTACGTTATATTAAGATAATATGGTCGTAATTCAATTATTGGGTGTTAAGGCATCGCAATAGGTTTGGTCATGAAATGTTTTAAAATAGACTGCACTGGTTATGGAAACACTTGAATGCGCATCGACACTGAAATGAACAATTCATGAAGAATCAACTATAAAAAAATATGACTATTAATACACTGAACTAATCTACACAATAATATCAAATCTCATTTTAACAAATTTGTTTGCTATTTAATCTTTTGCATGTTTTACCCTATTTAATTGAATCTTGATGTATTCTGTTTTGTCAACGTCTAAGGTTTACATAGTTGTTTGGCCCCTAAATGACTCAAATTGTCGATGAGCCTGACAAATCCCTGTACCACCGACAAACACTTTAAAATGCTCATTGAAAACTGTTTCTGCCAGCAGGACTATATACTTGATCAATCTTTTTCTGAAAGAAATACATTCACGTACCTTGCTGGACTTGGATAAAAAAAAAAAAAGATGGAATTTGAAAACAGTCAGATTGGACTTCAGATTACTTAAGTATCCCTCTGAATTAGTTCTCTGGTTGGCAGTTTTCTGACGCAACTTTGCTAGTTATATCCTGAATGAAATCAAGGGGAAATTGCTGAATTTACAAAACAAAGGTACCGCGAAAGCGTAACATAATACGCCCGTCATACATTTAATGAACAGTTGTTTGTTTATAAAGGTCCATAACTCCATAAATTTCGGTTAGACAAAAGTTGTTAGCAGATTTGTCCGAGGTATCATGGCAATGAACATTCCTATGAAGTTTGAAGTTAATCTGTAGAAAAACTAATCAAGATATCGAGTGGACACTGTTTCGGCTATTGAATAAAGGGTCATTACTCCGTAAATTACGATAATTGCGATTATCGAACTTGTCCGAGCTTATATAGTAATGAACCTTCATATGAAGTTTGAAGATGATCCGTAGAAAACTTCTTGATCTGTCAAGTCGACACTGTTTCAGAAATTGAATAAGGGTCATAACTCCGAAAAGTACGATAATTGCAGTTGTCCAACTTGTCCGAGCTTTTATGGTAATGATCATGTAATAAAATTAATATACACTATGAATAAAATATAATGAGATTGACCAGGGACCTGGGAAGGATAGTAGACGAGGTCCACCCTCCTCCACAGCATAGTGTGAAGTGAATGAGGGTGGTGACGTGCGCGTACGAATAAGACACACAGGATGGCGTCAGTATGTAAATACTCGTGCAGATCACATTCTCACTCCACGCACAGTTTATGGCACGAGTACGGGATAGACAATACATGGACACACAATGCGTGACTCAATGCAATTAGTACACCCTGTTATATTAGGGTTTAGTTTCGTTTGGCTTTGCTCGGTTTAACGTACTGTTGATAGATACAAAGTGTAAAGCAAGACATGTATATCTGCAACAGTATAGTATAACATGTAAGATGGTTAAACTAGTATACTGTGTACATGTTTGCTTTGGCAGGAGTGAATCAGCTAATCCATTCGATGGTCATGTTATATGTGCAGGTAGTATTGACATTACATTTTTTACGTAAATATTGTTCAGGTTTGTTCCGGTTAAAGGCTACAAATAATGAATATAAGACTTACTTGATTATCAAAATAGCACCTTTTTTCTTCAGAGCTGAGTTGATTGTGTGTGTATTACTGGACATAATCTTGATGTGCTTCCATGAGGGTACTTTTGTTGTGCGCATGTCCAGAATGTTTACTAGAGATCAAGTGAAACACCTTTGAACTTGTAAGTTTTATGCGCACATCATATGGTGCCAATGAAATAGCCCATTGTCCGTGGTCCGCTGTCCAACCGTGTTTAGGTCAATCGGCCCAGAGGACCAGTAAGCTTATGCCCTGGCGCGGCGTCCGTCCGTCAATGTATGTTTACGCTTTGGTTTTTCGAGAAATCATATTCTCTCCATATGTAACAATGTGGATTGTACACGCTCTGTATTTACTTGCTATCTATTCCGTAATTATTAATATAGTAGGTAGATTCCGTAATTGTCTGGATCACGTGACGATAACGTGACATATAGGTACGTTAACACTATATTGATGTTATTTATACTAGTTAGTTTTATAGATATTGTTTATGATTTTTTTAATTGGCTACGTTGATTAATTACATCGCCGATATATAATGATTAAAATGTATATCAACGGAAATTTACGAACTATCTCGGCTAATCACAATCAAGCTGTCAGTTCAAAAGTAAATTCCTTGTTAGCGGTGAGCAGTTTCGGATTAGACAGCTGGTCATTCGGACGTAATTTGACTATATGCAAGCTCACCGATCTCCGACAAGAAATATAAGAAATACGTGAGTAATATATCTATTTATGTTTGAGTATAAGTATATGGAGTATTAATTATAGGATTTACTTAGATTATTTGGTATATTAGTTTCAACTCTATATTTGTGTGCGCTACTATATGTATATATGTGTTCAATTATATCTTTAGGCATGTAGCTCATTGTAAGTATCTATCAGTATAAGATAGAATGTGCATTAGCGTAATGGATAATATCGTAGCCCTGTAATTGTCAGGTTGATTGATTCGTAGGCTCTTAGTGGTGGGATCGAATACCAGAGATTAGCGAATTTTATTATTTTGTATTTTACAATCATGTAGATATGTGTATTGGTACGTGTTATTGAACGCTTGTATTTGTTTACCACAGGCTGTTCTATATTACTACAGAAAATGTAGGAAAACAGTGAATTCCTTCAAACATTTCTTAGGGTGAGTTATGCTGTTCATAGTGAACGATTTATTTGTGATTACTGTTAACTTGTCGTATTAAATCATACTGTCCTTCAGTGTAGCTTATGGCAATATCGACACGTAATATATAGTGTATACCAATTGTAAATGGCCAATTACAGCTGTGTGAGTGTTATAATTATCATAACATTTTTTTTAGAATTATTGTCAAAATGTTATTCGTTCATCAATCTTAGATTATTTTCGCATGCCTTTATATTTGTATGATTTGTCTGCAAGACAATTGAATGTTTTTATTGATATATTTGCAGACAAATGCCTTTGTGACATGGAGCTGATACCCTTACGAATAAATGGAATATGGACATGATACCAGGTGTATGTGTTTATTTCTACATGCGTCACATATATTATAAAAACTACGTAATCACTAAGGGACATGGGAAAAACACCACGAAAACCTTGCACGTCCTTAAATCACCATAGGTGTAAATAGGCACAAACAAACCACACCACACCAAAGCAACATCAATATTTCGGCAAAAAAATTCAAAGAGTACTGATAAAATGTGTCAATATCTTTATTGTTTTAACATTTAGAACGTAATTATCCCAATAATGACAAGATCACTGATGGAACGGTAGACTGGGTAAACTTTATCCAGTGTGGTGTCACGGTGGATGATGATGTTCCTAAAATTTAAGATATGGTGTTGCTGTGATACGAAACATTTGGAAAAAAAGAACATCATGCTAATCATCCTGCACGAAAGGAAATTGCATTCGTACCTATTTTAAATTACAAGCATCACCACACACAAGTGGTTTCTAAATTTTGGAGCAGACCAGCAGTCGTCAGGGTATCTAGAAATGAGGAGAGATTAACTGTTTCAAAAAGAGATGGCTTTAAGACTTGTTATTTATCAGTTGAAATTATCGATATAGTAGATTAATTTTGTAAAACAAATAGCCAAATAAATATTAATTGCAGAGTGTTGTCCTTGCAATGAATATATTACACCGATATTTCAAAAGTGGTAGCATCCACAAATGAGGCCAGCTAATTTCACGTTATTATAAAATCACACTACAGTCACATATTTATATATGGAATAGTTATGCAACCTAAGTGTTTGCTGAGAACAAAGAAAAAATATAAACAAAAAACGCTGTCCTCCTTGCAGCGCTACGGTCTCCATATCAAGCCTGGTCCAAACAGCCTTGCAGCTGTTTTATCTTCACTTTCAAACCAAAATACTTGTATGTATAAAAAAAATCAATATTTGCGAAGCTGATTATAATATATGCAAGAAAAACGATGGCCAACAGCAGCCGTTACGATAACTGCTTAAGCAATAGGAAGTTGGCCATAAATAGAATGTTCACACCTGTTCTGTGTAACATATCATGCGTATTGCTATATTATATTAGTTGTTTAAAAAAAAACAGGCATATGCCGAAATGGTTGATATGGGCTACAGTGAATGCATGATAAAGCTGGTTAAGATAAGAGGTTGCAAGAAAAATTCAATGAACATTGTAACCTTACCAGTACCGTTTACTAAACCAGTTACCATGACAAAGGTTACCTATTCAAGCTGTGACGGATGCTGTTGGATATCGTTAACCTTTCTGGCTGTGCTTTGTTAGTTACAGATAACTGCCTTCTAAGACCTTTTATGTTGCCAGGACATCAAACTCCGTGCACAAGGTATATGACTTTACCTTTTGTTTGTGTTGGGGCGAAGGTCGTTCGTGATGTAGTACTTGGTTTGGCAGTAATTGGAACAAAATGTGAAACACCATGATGGCTTGCATGAGTTGAGTGCGTTTGTTTGGTAACATGTTCGTGGTGGTGATGCCCATGTGAGTTGTGGCTATGCGTATGTCGAGCAGTAGGTGAACTTGTTACTTCAAATATGTTACGAATAAACGCAATAGCACCTGAAATAATCAAAAGGAAAACAAAAAAAATCAAAAGCATTCATATTATATTTAACCCATAAAATAGAATCATGTATCACGTGTGTATGACACTTTATCAATTTATTGAGTTTTCAACAGCCCATCAACACAGCAGAGGTGTTTAGGGTTAATAAGTGTGGCTATTTGTTGTTTTTTTTTTGAACAGACGAACGGTTTCAGGTAGTTTATAAATGATATGATATTTACTGTTTCGAAAACATATTTTGTAATTCAGTACCAATACTGAAAATGGTATTCCAAGAAATGTACACTGTGGGTCTAATTTTACACGTTGCTATCTTGTGCGTGTAGGTGTGGAAAATTGCCACATGCGAGTTGCCTCCCTTGGTACAGTCAGAACCTGCAAAAGTTTGGACGCTGTATATCGTACAAAATACATAGATATTTTCATATTTGTATTTTCCATATTTCATGTTATTGAGCCAAACTTTCTTTGGACTAATATAGGCTTGTTGTGTTGTTAATATTTAGTTGATAAAACAAGATAACAGTACTATCGTGATATGTTAAATAGGAATTATTCATATTTATGGTAATATATTCAAAACTAATAATTGTAAAAGTAACTAGAAATTGTTGGCTTACAATTGACGGAATTTTCACTGTAATGACTGATTTGGCCTGATAGCTAAGCGTCCCAACAGCTTGCATATTAAATATCCAGACTTTAAACAACCCCAGAACAGGCTTTTGCAAGTCTATTACCCAAAAAGTGCATTTGAATTTTGACCCATACCGAAAACCGGAAGTTGACCTTTGATGATCATTCTTGTGCATACACTTGGCAGGTTTTCCGTTATTGAGAAGGAGTCTTTTAAGATTTTAACACAATTGACCCCAGTGACCTTGGCCATGGGTCAAGGTCATTCATATGATCAAACTGGATAGTCCAGTGCTTGAGCATGAATATTCGATAAATATTATGACATTGAGTCACTTAGTTATTGAGAAGAAGTCTTTTGAAGTTTGTTTCACAAAATTTCACATTCGAATTTTAATATGACGTCATGACGGCCATTTTGTTTTTTCGATGAAGTTGAAAATGTTACCAAATGTAAGAGGACATCCCGGGAAACCTTTTCCATTACAAAGTCACTTTCATAATATTTCAACTATGTCAAGAAATGTTTACCTGTGTCTTCAAGAATTACAATTTTGAACTGTTTCATTTTACCATACTTGATTATTGTTTTATCTGTCGAATTTTACATTTTTTTTTATTTTTTTTTTATTTCTATGTACGCATCATGAGCTTCATGAGTGCACTACTATCATTTAATAGACAATTTCCATAAGCTCGCTGTGATACACCTTGTCTGTGATGATATAATTTTAATTATATCATGTTGTAAGTATTGAATATTTTACTGTCGACCACTGGTTAGAGGAGTCTTTGACTCAACGTGTTATCGACCTGAAATAAAGTATTTTATTATTATTATATTTATGACATGTAACATACTTTTGTTTTTCTACCATGTATTATGTTTAGGGGGCATTGAAGAAATCGAAATAGATTTGTTGCTCCCATTCCAACATTGGGAATATTCAAATATTCTAATTGCCTCCTTAAACATTATTGCTTCCAAGTGTTTTGCAATATATCACATTTGGCCATTTTCTTAACATTAAGTTATTCGTCTCATTAACAGCTAAGGTCATTTAAGGACGTGCCTCCATGTGTTGTGGAAGTTTGCATGCGCGTTTGTGTGTCGGATACAGGGTATGCTACGTTGGTGTGCTTGCCTCCTTGTGATAGCGCGGGTCTGATGCCGACTTAACAGTTATTTTTCACTTGAATACCATGGTCATGCCGAAGGCACCTAGCATAGCACTCCACCCGGTCACATTATACTGACACTTGGTGAACCAGTTGTTCCCATTCCCCGTAATGCTGAGCGTTCAGCACGAAAACAACAACTACCATTTTTAATGACTTCGGTATGTTCCGGCCTGGAGACAAAACCCATTGCCGTCCTCACCTGGGTTAACGTTTAAAATTAAAGCCAAAAGTGTGTGTTGCCATGCAAGGCGACAGGAAATGAAAGGCAGATAGAAGAAGAAAGATAAATAAAGATTACAAATTGGTTGCTTTCGTGCCCCAAGTGAAGACCAAACTTAGGATTGTTTCTGGATCAAATAAATTCCAATGAGCTTCTTTGGTTTAATGTTTTATTTAGCGGACAAAAACGTATGAATCCCCTTTAACGGCATCTTTTAAGTACACCAATAAACCCCTGTCTCCGGCAAATATAAACATATGGGCGGACTTGATTCACTTCACCATGTGCAAGTGTGCGGTGGTATACACGGTGACATAGTAACACGGTGTAACCGCACTGGGTACTTCTTCTGAGGTAGTGTAGCCGGTGTAGATGCCATTGATAACATGGCCGATAACTGGCTAAAGGGCAAACAAGATTTTCACAAAAGTGACTTTACGTTTGGTTTCAATGAAAATGTTCCAAAATTCTATTTAGCTTCGTGTCTTCGATACATTTTAGGGAGATGTGGTGATTGAGTTGCTCATAATGGTCATAATAGGGGATTCATCAGACATAATAAACGCACCTTCATCAACTAAGGCGATTGTCTCCTGAGAGTGTTTACAATTACTTGTGCCACACGGGTGTTATAAAGTTGTAAGTAATAGCGATATGACACAAGTATACAGACGACAATATAGATAATTTGATGATAGGAAACATTGGCTTATCACAGAGAATATCACCTGTAGTTAGAAATAGAGTTATACTGTCCGTTTAGTGCATTGAAAACACTTGATTCGCAACAGTACACCGCGGCCTACATTTGGTATACACGGTGTACGAATCGAGCCGGTTCATGCTCGCTTAAACAACACGCATGGAAACACGTTCCTACATATCCTTAGTTACAAATAAACAACTTAAACCAAACCTACCCCATTTAAAAGTTTAGAAGTTACGGCCCGGACAAGATATTCCTTAAGATTTTCAACTTATTTGAACTTTTATGTCGAGGTCCATGTGGTAGACTAGCCTTTGGCTAAACATGTCATCCTCGTTAAATAAAGTGTATTATTATTATTAGCATAGGTCAAGGTCACAGTGGCCTAACTACAGTCCACTGTACATCGTCTTTGGGTGATGCAGATATCCTGCAAGTTTTATCAGGATATTTTTGACTTAGCTCTTATTTGACTTGATCGTTAGATGAACTGCCTAATTATACATCATATTTAAGTTGTACTTGTAATAGGGACCAGTAGAGAAGTTCTCAAAACTGACCCAATAGTCGCAAATGATAGAGTAACCAATGTAATCATCAACATGTATACTAATGGACCGTTAGCATCACTTTGCGTACACCTTTGAATTTTTGAAACAAACATACTTTGACATTGAGGTAAGGGCCACAGCGATCTAATGGCAATGCATTGTACATCATCGGTAGGTTATAAGTTTCCTCAATATATCTTTGATGGTTCAAACGTTACAGCCCAGATAAAGTATTCCTGAATAGTTTGCACATATTTTGCCCTTGACCTTAACCTAATTAATGGCATTGCACTTCGCATGATGTATCATTGTAAGACAAATCTACCATGTTTTGCACTATGACGACTTATCTCCCCGCTCCTCAGTCCCTTATTAAGTCAGCCTTATTTTGGGGATCCCCACCATTGGGTTATGATTACAACCAAGTTTCATCAAAATCTAGCCGACAGTTTCCGAGAAGTCACAAATAAGATTGTTTACGCACGACGGCTGACGCAAGGAAGACATTAGATCGAAAATTAACCCAGCAATTGTGGCATATAACGAGCTATTTTATCCTCTAATGGTTTTATTTAATTTTGTTTAACGTCCTAATAACAGCTGAGGTCATTTCAGGACGTGTTTGCATGCTTGAGTGGGTGTATTCAGGATATAGGGTATGTTGGCGTGCCTGCCTCTTTGTAATATCCCGCATCTGATGCCGACTTTATAGTGCTATCTCACTGAAATGTCATGCTGAAGGCACCAAGCACAGCATTCCGTCCGGTCACATTATACTGACGACGGATGAACAAGTTGTTGCCATTCCCCTTAATGCTGAACGTTAGGCAGAGAATAAAAACTACCATTTTCAAAGATGTCGGTATGTCCCGGCCTGGGGACACAACCCATTACCTTCCTCACCAGGGCAAACGCTCAACACTAAAGCCACATGTGAGCTGTTGCCAGGCAGGACGCTAGGAAATAAAAGGAAGTTAGAAGTAGAAAGAAAGATAGAGAAAACATAGCAATGGGCGCAGCAAATCTTTTTGGTGGTTTATGTGTCCCCAAAAAGAGGACACCAAAGCAAATCCCAAATTCTGCAGATACGATAGATCCTACGATACATATGCAGTTGGTAGAAGCAGGTGTATTCTTTTCCCAATATCCCACCTGCAGAATTGAGAAACCTTTAAACAGCTTTTCAAGGCGCTGGTCCGTCCGCACCTGGAATACGCGGCAAGTGTATGTAACCCACACAAAGTTAAAGACATTGAAACAATTGAGGAAATAAAAGTAGAAAGAAGGGTGCAGCCTATTTGTTTTGGTCGCTTTTGTGTTCCAAAATATAGGACACCAAAGCAAATCCCCAATTATGCAGGGGGTTGTATAGAAATCAATGTTACTAGCGAAAAAACAGGATACTTAATAACCTACCTTTGTCTTCATGTGTACAATGTTTTTCATCCTCCCCGTGTTGGCAATTGTCTCTGCCATCGCATAATTCGCTCAAAGAATATAAACACACTTCACTTACATGACAGGTGAACATTGGAAAACCACACTTGCCTTTGGCTGTAAACATAATGAAATCGATATTAACTATAGTTGCTTAATACATGCATATGTGAAAGGATAAATCAAACAACGCTACAAGAGAGGCATATATCGAGACTATTATTGTTTTTACATGCTTAACGGCCAACTTGAAGAGACATTTTTTTTAAGAGAGATCTTAACGTTATTAAAGACACTTTTCGAGTTGATTGAAGGCCGACCCAACCTAGTAACAAGTGTTTTACTGTAAATGATTTTTGAAACTCTCTGCAATGAGGCTGGTTTTAACGTTTCAATAAATACGAATGGGAAATGTAACCCATCCGTTGACGGGCAGGGACAACCTTGTCGCTGCGCCTCTCGTTGTATCTAGGAAGCCATTGATCGATTTCAGAATAAATAGGATGCAATTTATTGTCTACGCATTGATTCCAATTATTTTGCCACTCTGATTTGATAAATTTTGCGATACGTTTTGTTTTTGTATTGTTTAACGGCCAATCGACAATGCGAGTCATTTAGGGCCAACAATACTGTAACAAGAGACACATCAAACCAAAACGTAATAGCTTAAACTATGCAAAGGATTAACGAAATGCATCAATATTGAACAAATTGGCTGCACGATATATCATATTTTATTGTCAAGATCATTAGAGTGTAAATAGTCATATATGAATTGCACAAAAACTGTATCGCATTATTTTTCATCGACAGTACATCATAAAATTTGTCACGTATTTGTTTGAAATCAGCACTTTCAATCTAAAAGCGTTTGACTGTAAATGGTTGATCGCATGCATGACGATAAGACTGGTCTTTTCCTCACGCAAAATGCAGCCATGTGTAATGTAGGTATGACAATGTCCTCTCTACGATCCTGCTCTTCTTGCTGCACATGAACCAACATTAGCTTTAATTACAAATAACTTGCCGCTTAATTCTTCAGACTATTTATTTTGCCAATTCGTTTTAATAAAATTTGTTTTAGAAGTTGTAAAATCTGAAGAAGGCAGTTTAATTTCTTTTGATTGTAGCTTAAGGGCTGCTTTAGAAGCTTTATCTACCTTCTCATTTACATTTATTCCGACATGACCTAGTATAATATATGTTGTTTAACATCAGTTAAATGAAGTTTAAAATCAACAGGTGGTAGCAATAGAACTGCTTCTGTGGCACGACCTGCCTTGTCATTATCTAGTACCCCCACATAGCCGGGAACCCGGCAAAATGTTATATGTTGTAATGAGGTTATATTGTGTAATAATGTTAAGAATTTTCGAATTTGGATATTCTTCAAAAACATTTTGTTCGAAGGGTCTGTAGGACAGACTGTAGTACATCATTTGGTTATATGTGTTCAATCAGTGGTGAAATAGATAACATGGGCTTATACGGAGAATGTTGACGCTTTATTGTGGTAGCCGGCATATAATATTAACATCTTCCGCTACCTTGGCCGCGACAACCTTATGTTCACATTTAAACCTTCAGTACAAAATGATTGAAATTCTTATTTCTTAACTGCAGTTTCTAGAAAGATGAACGAAAGAAGTAAGATTCGGTGTCATATTTAGCTGTCTTATTAAGTGAAAAATCAACCTTCGGCGAAATCAGAAGCAACGGAGGAATATCAATCGTTGCAAATGATTGGATCGTGTCGATTTTAATTTGGGTACTTTTCAGAAGGATCTGAATTCGAATATCAAAGGTTGAAATACTTTTTGATTATTTGAAACAGAGTTTTGTACATTGGATTGACAACAAGTGAACAGGCTGGATTTGGAGAGATTTGGATTTTTTTAATTCCACGTAAAGGCTTGTACGTCTCGAACTCTGGCGATGTTCGGTAACTTCAAATATTATATCTTGTGGATCCATAACTGTTGGATCAATATTATAATTTAGTTCTTACAGATGCTCTTGAGATTCTAAGCAGTACCTATCTATCACCTTTCCAGTCAGTGTGTACATGTGTAAAATGTTTAATGCTTTAGTGCATTATGCCAAATATCAAGATTGGAGGACTTTCGGTAGCTGCAAATATCAATATTTTTGTCTCAACTATAGAGAAAACAAATAACTCGGATTTGTAATAAATTGCAAAAGTCGTTTTGACTTACACTAGAAACGAACGACTTAAATGAGGTTTATATAAAAGTTCATACATTGTTCAATATTTAGCTTCCATGGAATTGAGGTTTGATATACAAGTGCATACATTTGTTAAACAGAGATCTTCCATAGAACTTTAATCATGGTAGTGGCCCTCTCATGATTGAAACCGTGGCCTCAATTGTATAATGTCAGAAATATCGAGTATCTAAATTTGTAGAAAGACCTCATTACCGTTTTATGACGCACGACAACAATATATTTTAAAAAAATATGCCATTGCACATTACAATGTACTATCATGAAATATACCCAAAACGTTTTCCCAGTGTTGGACCAGTGAACGACTTGATACATGGCGAGATGGTTCATCACCACCCGTTTGCCAGGACTCTTGTGTATCTGTCAAGAAAGTTAAAAAGAGAATAATGTTAAATGATGATAGTTTTCGGCAATGATCGTTACTTTATGTGGTGCTTGAAAGCAAGTTTTCGGGCGAAGTTGTTTGAAAATTCGAAAAAAACCAAAAAATTACCATTTGTATTATTTCAATGTTCATATTTGAACGTTCATTTTGTTCAAACTGTTTATATGACATGGTTGAAAATGTTTTTAAATTATGTTCATTCTATATCTAATCTCCATTTCGGTATTGACTAGGCGAAATTATTTTGATGCTTTTTTTGTTGTAATGTTTAGGCTACACTCAGCAGATTATTTTTATTTCATATGAAATTACTTACGATACGTCTTTCCATCAACCAAAAGAGCACCGGTCACAAAGAATATTGCAAAAATCATGATGTGTTTGTGTCTTCAGAATTATAATCACATGTAGTTACTGAAAGAAATTTTTTAAAAATGTACTGTCAGAAGATGTTATCGTAAATCTTTCCTCTGTGCGTGGTATCTTTTCCCAATATTTCAACTACACGAAAACGTTCATATTAAAAAAAAAGAAAACCTTCATACAGAATACATTCAAGACATATACATATGTATTTGAATAAAAAGTCATAATCGCCTTTAGATTGTAAAGATAGATCGATTGAAAAGACGTCAATCAATTTCATCCGTAAATTTAGTACTGACATGTAGTACATGGTGTATATTCAAGAAGTATTTTTAGCTCACATGGCCCTTTAGGGCCTTGTGAGCTTATGTCATACTGCAGAGTCTGTCCACGTTTTCTTTTAAACGACTTCTTCTGAAGAACTGAAGGATCTAGGTTCATGAAATTTGGCGAGTAGGTAACGTACCTAATATGGAGTGTTATAAAGTTTCCTCATTAAGATGACCTTGATCTAGTTTCAAGGTCAAATGGGTCAAATATGTTAAAAACTTACATCAAGAATTTCCGAAGAACTATTTGAACTAGAGGCATAATACTTTGGTATGTTATGAAGACAAGTTGAGTGAATATTTTTCTTAATTACAGTAATATGGTCAAAGGTCAACTTTAAGTGCTAGTCGGGTGTCTAAAGTCAACATGGGTTGAAACCTTTAACAATCTTCATCTTTAGTTCCATTAAGCCTAGGTTCATGATATTTGGTCAGTACATACAAAATGTACCTGGGTTGGTTTTGGATTTGTTTTGTATTGTTTAACGTCATATCAACAGCTGTGGTCATTTAAGGACGACCACCCCTGTGTGAAAGATGCGTCCAGACCAAATTGAAATAAAATCCCTTAATCCCTATGATAGGAGAACGAATTGAAATGTATTACCTCTATTTCCCCCCTCCCCCATTTGGCCCCGCCTCTCTCCTATCCACGGGAGGGGGGGGGACGTACCCACGGTTATCTCGCCTATTGGGCCCGCCTCTCTGCCCAAAAGGGAGCCGTACCCACCATTTATACAAACCTGTTTGCCCTTGGCCTAAGGATGCTCCAGACCAAATAAAGTCAAAACCTACTAGGTCGTTCAGGACTAGTAGCGTTTTAAAGGAAAAGTTGACGGACGGACGCTGCGGTATTGCATAAGCTCACCGTGGTCCTTTGGACCAGGTAAGCTAAACTCATTTAACAGCAATTAAATGAACGTTTTTACAACAAAAAACAAAGTTTTGCTGATGCAGTATCAAGTTCTAGTGACAACAAATAGTGCTGTATAGAAAGAGGAAATATGTTGAAATTGAAAATATGCACTAAATAGCAAACAAAACAGAAAAGTATTCTTTAAAAGTGTAAAGATTTAATTACACATACAGGTTTCTATTCATTGGGGGCGATTTTAATAAGGTACACGATGAAAAAGATAGGAAAACAAGAGCACAAACTAGAATTTTTAAAAGCACATATGAAGTAACAAAACAAGGATATCACTTGAATTATTTTATATTTGGAGAGTACGTAACAAAACAAAAGTACAGTATACATGGAGGCGTTACAAACGCGGAGAAGCGAGTAGAATTGACTATTTCTGGGTTAATGATATTATAAATGCTTTAAAGCGTATATATTAGACCAGCCCGAATCAATTACACATATTATCAACATGTATCTCTCACCTAAAATTAACAAGCAAGGGTAAAAAGGAAAAGGTTTATTTAAGTTTAGGGAAGTAGACAGGAAAAAGGAGAACGCAAAACATTGATCAAGCGGGTGATACCACAAACAATATGTGAATGTGAAAGAATGCAGTTAGACAAAAGAAAACATGCAATCCATGGTGTATTAACCAAACAAGAACTAATATCATTATGTTAACATAAGAGTCCATACACTTAATTATCCTCCAATCTGACCCCTTTTTACGGAGAAATTGCCCTTTGTTGAAAAACTCTTGTCAAGACAACTCCTCCAAAACTATGGCGCCAATTTCAACGGAAGTTAACAGATATGGTAACTGCCCCCAGACATTGTGCATACAAGTATATACGTAGTACTTTTTCATTCCGACCCTTTACAAGGAGTGAAGGCCCTTTGTTAAAAAAAACTTTGTCTGCCTTTGGACTGATTTTAATGAAAGTTTACAGATATGGTAATTACCCCTTGATGTCGTGCATCAGAGTAGTTTTTTTTCATTTCGACCATTTTTAAAGAGTTGTGGCCTTTTGTTAAAAACCTTTGTCTTGACAACTCTTCCTTTACTACCAGAACGATTTCAGAAAAACTGGTTGATCGGGGCTAACACGATTTGGTATGCAAGAACGTTTTTGTATGGGGATGGAGTACAGGAAGTATGTCAGTGACCTATATACCTAAGTTACCGATAGAAGACTATGGATTGCTTTTCAATGCTTTGCCTTAGTAAACCTTTAGCTTACAGTTCTGGTTTATATAGGAGCGGGAGTATAAGTTAACCATTGGCGTACAGTTCTCGTTATTATCTTATTTTGCCTTTTCATTAAACAAAATATGAAGGAATATGACATTATTTTATATCGTTAACTCTAAACAAATAAAGCAAAAAAACATATCCTTGTCTGACTCCCCATACAAACATTTTTTTTAGCAAATTGATTTTTGTTACCTTGAACGAAGGTCAAGGTCATCAACGTTTACAAAACTGAAATCCATTCACATGAACAACCTACTTGCCAAAAAGCATGACCCAATGACCTGTGGTCACGAAGAAACACAAGTTGAAGGAAAAGTGGAAAGAAAGCTATGTTTTTCTAATTTTAAATCAAAAGTGATATATGACAAGTTAACCGGTTGTCAATGTATTTGAAATTTCCGATGTTGAATGATATTATTGGTAGCCAACTTTTAAGCAAGTATAAAACATAGACTGGTCTTAGAACTATGTAAATTAACATGTCAAAAACAGAAATGTTCTCATAAGTAATGAAATTTCACATTCTTTTTTGCTTAAATCTTTAATAAAATGAACAATTCATTTTTAAAATGATGCAATATTTGGTATCAACGTAACAGATGAAATATGTTGCACACGATGATGATAAAAGTTGATAGTAATTTCGTCATTTAAATGCTCTAGGAGGAATTGTATTACCGCACCTTTAACATCCACACAGGTTTAAGTCAAAGAGGTCCTTTCTTTCCTAAAATAAATTTTGAAACTAACTGTCCCTGAATTAAGCTTCCTTTACCCATACCTTTTTGGATATATCTTGTTTTGAAATTCCAAGCGGGGGCCGACGCTAATGTTAAATCTCCATAGGCGTTGACCCTACCTTTGAGTGAAATTCAACAATTTCTGAATTGCGACCAATTAACAGCCGCTGTGTGGTTGCTATGGCAACGAAGGTATGCGATTGATTTTATGAGAAATTATGATAAATGATAAAATGACAGGGTACGAGCACCAGTTCATACACTAAACTTACCGAATCTGGTATGGTTGGTTACTGCAAACATTCACACGAATTCCTTATCATGGATTTTGACCCCTTCACTTTATCACAAAGTTTCACATGGAATCGTGTCTTTGACAAGTAGATAAGACCGACTTGTACAAACACATATCTAAATACATATTTATAAGGCAGTCCATGTACCGCTAACCTAAAAATAACATGATTTTTTCTATCACTCTTCTTCGTTGGCCCGTAGTTTCACGTTTATTGTAAATCAGATTTCGAGAGATGTTTACAAAATTTCATATTTATGTTTTTATTAGTTCACAGTCATCATTTTAAGATGAATAAAAATTGCTGCAAGGTAGTCATTATCAATTTGACATCGCTATACCCGACAGATTTAACTGAAATTACAAACACAGTTTAATTTAGACCATTCATCGCCCTCTTGACGACGTAAAATCAAGGTTTCTTTTTAAAAACTACATGTAATTTGTATTTGGTTGATTAATTGTGTTAAATGTCCTTTCAATATATTTGTTCTGGCTAAGGTTGAACGTCCTCACAGGTCAGGGTCATTTAAGGACGACATTGTATCAGGTAAGGACAATTACTGAACCTGCCTCTGTGTGTAATCTGAAGTATGGGTCACAGCGACCTAATTTTTATATTGGCGTAATTATGTCATTGATACTTTGTACTTGATATTTTGTTCCTAAATACAGTGCAATATTGAATAATTCAAATAATGGATGCACATTAAATTAGTATATTGACTAACATAATCGGATGTATTACCACTCCCTGACACACTCCTAACACATTTGTGAACGTCCTTATTTCTGTTATAGAATTGGTTTGGTTCAGTTTTATTTTGTTTAACGTCCTATTAACAGCTAAGGTCAGCCAGCCCTATGTGCAAGATGCATGCATGTAGTTTATGTGTGTGTGTTTTGGGAGGCTGCGATATGTTCGTGTTTGTCTCGTTGTGATAGCGCGGAACATAAGCCGACTTTATAGTGTTACCTCACTGAAACATACTGCCGAAGACACCCAACAGGACACCCCACTCAATGAGATCTTAAAAATGTTGCTATAAGTGGTTTAAAATCAGTAAAATGACGCTTAAAATCAGCAGGAGGAATCAATAGTGCTGTTTTCGCGGCAGCATCAACCTTTTCATTACCTAGTTTTCCAACATGCCTGGAAACCCAGAAAAAAAGTAATGACATATTGAGATAATATTATGTAATAACGTTACGATTTTTCCAATCGAGATATTCTTCAATTTTTTGTTTCGAAGGCTCTGTAAGTGTCAAAGTAAAACAGAGAGAATCAGAATAGTTAACTGGCTGCGGTGTATCATTTGATTTAATTTGCTCAAAGCTAAGATAGATATCATGGTCTTTTGCGGAGAATATTGACGATTGGGCAGTCGGCATCAAATAGTAGCATCTTCCGCTACTGTGGCGGAGGCAACTTTATGATCATCTTTCGAACCGTCAGTATACAATGATTGAAAGTCCTTATATTTTAACTGCAGTTTTGAGAATGATGAACGAAACACGTAAGATGTGGTGTCGGATTTATCTGTCATGAAGTGAAAGATCAACAATTAGCGAGACCGGAAGCTACGGGGGAATATCAAAATATCAATCGTTGCAAAAGGTTGGATGGTGTCGATATAATTCTGAGCAATTTCCAGAAGGGATGAAATTCGAATACCAAAGGTTGGAATACAGTCTAGTTTATTTTGAAACTGAGATTTGTAATTAAGATTTAAGCCAAGTGAATATGCTAAAACGGGTTTGGCTTTAATTGAACCGCATACTGCAATGATAATTTCTCTCGGCAATTATACAACGATGGTTCGTTTGCTTCCATGTAATGACTTGCAGATATTGTGGTTTTAAACGCTCCAAAAGCAAGTTTCAGACCCTGGTGATGTACAATTTGTTAAGTAAAATGAAAATGACATAAAACAAATGAAAAGCTACCGTTGCCTGAAAATAAATGTATTCAGAGGCTGTCATTTATTTTGTGATTTCATGTACATTGCATTTTTTTTTTTTTAATATTTTAGATGAATTGCAACAACTGGTTCACCCGTTGTCAATATAATGTGACTGGGCGGAATGCTGTGCTGGGTGCCTTCAGCATGGTATTTCAGTGAGATAGCACTGTAAAGTCGGCATCAGATCCGCGCTATAACAATATACCCTGACTCCGGCACACATACACACTTATACATCACACATGGAGACACGTCCTCAAATGACCTTAGCTGTTAATAGGACGTTAAACAAAACCAAAACCAAACTAAGCCTACCTAAACGCCTACGACTACTTTACATCATACATTTGTGGTTATGATTATCTTCGTATTCGAGTCCTTTTCAGTAGGAACCTCCCCTCCTGCGAAGATGTCCCTGGTGGTAAATTGTAGCAATGTCCTCTCCATAGGTCACTCGTTTGGTGGACTTATACCTAGTGGTATTGGCGTCACTGCTTAGTGCTGTGTTTTTATCCATGGCGACATCGTTCCCAAGGGTGGGAGTCCTTCATGTCTTTGAGTTCTTTTCAGTAGTGACCTCACTCCCTGTGGTGATGTCCTCTTCATTGGTGATATCCCTTTGCTTGGTGGACTGTCTTCTAGTGATTGTGGCGACACTGCTTAGTATTGTGTCCCTACCTATGGTGACATCCTTCCAGGTGGTTAGGGTCCACCTTGTAGTTGTTGCCTTTTCAGTGCCAAACTCCCTTCCGGTGGTGGTTTTCCTTCTTGTATATTGTAAATGCGTTTCTGAAGGTGTTTGCTTCTTCCTTAGTAACATCACCCCTTCTGGTGGTGTTGACATCCTTTTTAGGGGTACTGTCTTTCAGACTGACTGCATTTTTCCCGATTGTAGCTTTCCTTCTTTTGTTGTTGTCCCTTTGTCGCTTAAAATGTCTTTCATGCTAGTGATGTACATTGCCCTGGTAGTGGCATCGTTCATGCTCAGTTCAAATCCATTCCAGTGACGGACAATCTTCTAATATCCATCCTCTTCATCCTATGTCTTTAGTAGTGCATCTGTGTATGGTATACAGGCCTGTTATGGTTATGTCTGTTCCTCAACAGGTTTCGCAACATGTAGTTGTGGAAGTGTGTATGCCTTCATCATGCGCGCCGTGTTGATTTCATCCCATATATCAATTAGACTTCAATTGCTGTAGACAAGCAAGCTTCAGATGTAAACAATCACTGGATACCAGGCTACGGTTGATAATACACCAATGCAGAATGTGGGACATACGTCTTATAGAAGATTTTCTTGCAAATCCTTGCTTTTGCCAACCCTGCAAGTCAGGGATCGAGAAAAGAATACAGCTACGGTTACCCACTGCACGTATCGTAAGAGGCGACTTATTAGGTAACCCCCTGCAGAATTAGTGATTTGCTTTTGAGCTGGGGACACAAAAGCGCAAATAAATGTTTTCAACATATGGAGTCTAAGTCTTCCTTTAACTTCTAAATTCCTTTTCATTTGCTAGTGCCTTGCTTAGCAGTACCTCGCTTCTTGCCGCACGATTAAGCGTTCGCCAATGCGAGGAAGGCAATTGGTTCCGTTCCCACGCTGGAACATACCAAAGTCCTTAAAAATGGTAGTTGTTGTTCTCTGCTAAACGTTCAGCACGGTAATGGCAGCAACTGGTTCACCTTAATCTTAAACAGACATGTATGCTAATCATCCATATCTGATATTCAGCGTAAACTTTATAATGTTGACACGTGGTGTAATGACAACAAGATGATAGTAAATGCAAATATAAGCAGAAGCTTTGGAGACTAATGAAAGCCTCAATCTTAAACCTAAGAGAGAAACCGTGGCCAAGGTAAATGTCGAGAAATTACTTGGTATTAATATTAACGACAATTTCATCAATTCTTTCCAAAATGAATCTGGGGCCAGGATTACTACGGCGTATCCGACACTTTTTACCAATAGAAACTCGCTTAAAATGTGTAAATGCTTGTTTTTTTCCATCATTTTATGTATTTAATTTATGACGACAATCTGGTCTGGTTGTCCCGGATCTTCTTTAGACAGACTATCAAAAACGGGCAGCCAGATGGTTTAGAGGTGTATCATATGATGATCCTTCATTTGAAATGTACAAAATTTTGAAATGGATGCCAATTCAAAAATATTTCAAATTTAAATGCATCAATGGTATGGTGCCATAATAGCTTTACAAAGATTTGTTTTGTTGGAAGTGTTCATAAACATTCTAATAGGCATGCATCCAATAAAGATCATATTTGTCCCAAGACACAAAACAACTTTTAATTCAAAACAGTTTTATATATCTGCCAGTCAACACTGGAATGAACAGGATTATATAAGGTGTAAAGACGGGGCATTTTCCTGCATTAGTGTCACACAGTAAGCACTAGCACAATGTAAATTGATGTACTTACGATTTATTTCAGCTGTATAAGATGTTTTCTGTTACCTACTGTCTGTAACATGAACAGTTGTTGTCGTCAACTATGGCAGTGAAGGTCGTTATATATGGTTTTTGCAGATGCTTGACCCAGTTCATCATCAGATACTTCGTCGCGTTATAGATGCTTTTCGCACATCACCAGCCGCTCTGCGTTGAAGCAAATCAACCGTCACTTAGTGATAGACGAACAACTTTAAGTCTACAGTTTGCGTACTAGTTAAAATCAAATCAAGAAATTAAAACCCAGCTTTCTAATCAGTATTTTATCCAAAGTGTAAACAGCTTTTCGAACGAAATGAAAAATTGATCCTATCTTTTGAAATACGACGGGGTCAGTCTGTCCATTTGAACACTTAATAATCCTCACTACCCAGGGGTGCATCCACCAAATATAGTTGATACCCATCGCTTAGTTTTAGCGCCTTGCTTGGCAACACTTCACTTTTGGCCTTTATGTTGAGCATTCGCCCATTATTATTATGATATTCTTAACGGCCCATCACCACATAAGAGGTCATGAGGGCTACATTGTAATAAAGAAGACAAAGCATGTAAAGGAAACAAATCAAACGAACGAAAAGGTAAAAGACATACGTCAATTTTAATACATTGTAAAAGTAGCTAAAATTTAATTATATCTTTTTGAACAAACCGACAGTTTTTAGATAGTTTAAAATTGTAGAGATACTTACTTTTTCGAAAAGTGATTTGAGTTATGTTATATCATAAAAAAAGTATCTTGTGGCTGAAGGTCGATGCAATCTAAGAACAAGTGTTTCACTGTAAATGGTGTGTGACATGCTATGAATTGAGACCGGTCTTCGCTTTTCAATAAATAAGAATGGGTTATGTAGGAATGACCAATTCGGAGACGGGCAAGGCCAATCTCGACTCGGCGTTTTCTCATAGCTTGGATACCATTAACCGATTTTCGTTTTGACACAGCATAATTTATTGTCTACGCATTGATTCTAATTATTTTGCCACTTTGACCTTACAAAATTTGTTATTAACGGTTTAAAATGAAGTTTAAAATCAACAGGTGGTAGCAATAAAGCCGCTTTGGCGGCGCGATCTGCCTTTTCATTACCTAGTATTCCCACGTGTCTGGGAACCCAGCCTAATGTAATGTGACATTTTGAGGTAATACTTTGTAAAAGTGTTATTATTATCGTAATTGAGATATTCTTCAATGTTTTGCTGCGAATGCTCTTTAGAACAGATAAAGAATCAGAATAGATTATTGACTTTGGCACACCACTTGATTTAATGTGTTCAAGGGCCAGATATATAGCGTTGGGTTGCGGAAAATATTCATTTGGTAACAGGTAAAAAAAAAAAACCGGCAACTGTTGTAACTATGGCTGCGTTGGCTTTATGATCGTCTTTCGAACCGTCAGTATAAACAGATTTAAAGTCCTTATATTTCATGTAATATTTTACTGTTTCATGGAGTGTAAAGTCAACCTCGGGCGAAGTCAAGGGCCATAAAAGAAAATCAATTGTTTTAAAGGATTGAATAGCACCAACCTATGTATTTTGGCGTTTTCCAATAGGGATTTGATGCGAATAACCAAAGGTCGGAATACACTTTGGTTTGTTTTCAAATAAATTTCATAATTTTGATTGAATACGAGTGAATAGGATGAATTTGAAGAATTTGATTTTTATAAAATTGTACATCCTGCAATGACAGTTTCACTGTAATCAATGCAACACTTTCTTATCGGCGCCCCATTCAGTATGGGAGATTACCTTTAATAGGTGAAGTGCCTTAATGCATTTTCCTTAAGGTACTTGATATGAGGAAGGAACGATAATTTTCTGTCGAATATAAATAACGCCTAGGAATTTAGTTTGTTCTACTTAAGGAAGAGGTTGGTCGTAAAGGGTGAGTTTTGGATCGTCATGGTTTTACGTAATTGACAAAAATGCATGCACACCGTTTTGGATTTGGAAAATTTGAAACCGTTTTCATCAGCCTAGATCTGAAGTTTATTTAAATATAACTGCATCTGTCTTTCAATAGTATTCAGTCAATGTTCTGACAATACTATTTATTTTCAGCCCGAAAAGTGTTAAAGAAAGAATGCTTCCCTGTGGGACGCCCATTTGTTGTTCGCAGACGTTCGGACATGTTGTTCCATTCCGTACCTGAAAGACTCTGTCAGATAGGAAGTTGAAAATGAAATCAGGTAAATAACCTTTCATACCTGTTTTGTTCAGATATGTCATGATTCCATGGTTCTACGTTGTGTCGTAAGCCTTTTTCCAAATAAAAAAAGACCGGAACTAAATGCTCCTTCTTTAGAAAGGCCTCGCGCACAGCTGATTCAAGTCTAACCGAATGGTCGTTTGTACCTCTTCTAGATCTAAAACTACTCTGAAGTGGTGATATTATGTTATTAGATTCTAAAAACCATATCAGCCAAGAATTGATCATTTGTTCCGAGAGTTTTGCAAATGCAGCTTGTGAGTGATATTGGGCGGTAGTTAGAAGGATCAATGGTGTCTTTTCCTGATTTAGGAATAGAGATGATCGTTGCTTTTTTCCAAAAACTAGGGATTTTTCCGGGTTTTTTTATGTCATTAAAATTGTCTAGAAGTGTTTTGAGTGATGATTCAGACAGATGTTTTAGAAACTGATGGTGTACATCATCGGGTCCTGTTGCAGAATCATTAGATTTTTGCAAACGATTCCTGGAGTTCTAACATAAAAACAGATTGATAGTTATGTTCATTGTTATAAGAGGAAACTTTTAAATGTGTTTTTTCTTAAGATGTTTTCAATTTTTGAAATTTGTTTGAGTGGTTTTCAGTTGATTTTTTGGCAAAAGCAGAGCCTAAAGCATTTGCAATATCAAATTTTGTTGTAATTATTTGACATTTCGTTTCGAGATGTACCACTGACACTTCCGACCATATCCAACACTTTTTAATGGTCGTGTTCGAGTTAAGTTTCGATACGTACGATCTCCAGATTTGTTTTATAGGTTTAATTTAGTTTAACGTCTTATTCTCGTCAAAGTCGAGTAATAATGATGGATAACATAGCGTCTAAATGTGTGAACGTTCCAGAAACATGGTGCAAATATGAAGGTGTTTCATCATTAAATAGGCAGATATCGTTTTGATTGATAACATTTTCAATTTTCTCCCCCTATCATTATTATCAGGGGAACCCCAAATATTGTTCTGCTCGTTAAATTCATCTAAAAGAACGAAGGGAGAAGGAAATTGGGTAAATATTATATTAAGATCTGTATTCGAAATGTTGCAGTTGGGCGGGGGATATTCAGAACATATTGTAAATGTTCTGTGTAACGTGACACTTACAGCAACTACCTATATATTTGTGATAACCTGTATAGCCCTATGAGGGGTTATGCTATAGACTAGTTAGCAACTCAACTGGTTGCGTTTTCGCCATCAGACCAAAGCAATTGAAGAATGAAGTATTTTCTTAAATTTACAGTTGTTTACTTTTTAATTAGCATTTCCTGAAAACCGATTCCGGCAGGACTGTGTTCTTGACATTAATTTTGATGACGAAATACAGACCATCAAAAAAAATAGCTCTTTAATTGATATGAATGCTGAACAATCCGTTCCGTCATCAAGAGCCTCCAACATCTATATCAATGCCGTGAAGCCACCATAAGCATTTAATTAAATCTTACCAAATGTGCACTGTACCTCGTATAAACATGTTTTATTACCAATTGCTACTAATACAATCATTCAGTGGAACTGCAGAGGTCTTCCATCCAATTTGGATGAAATTATACGGCTATGAGTTTTCGTTCTGTCGCCAAGGTTCGACACTAACGCTAGTCCGTTAGTCCGCAACTAGTAAACGCTAACAAGGACTAGTTAAAGTTCTTTACTTGTTAGTGCTGCGGACTAGTTATTTTTTCATACGAACTCTATCCAATACCGATCCGTTCCCGGCGTCTTCCATCGCCGTGAGACGAACAGGTCCGCTGTCCTTGTGTTATGAAATACTGCCGATTAAACTGTGTTACAAACGATTTGATTGGATATTGGATGTGAAATGAACCAATCAGCGACTCGCTCTGATAGAATTATATCACAGTCGGGTATGCGTTTGTTTTTGCTGCCACACTTGATGCGTGTTACTGACCCCGAGGAAATTGTTTAGTCGTAATCAGGATCCACCCGGTCACATTATACCGACAACCAAATGTTGCTATTATCCTCAATGGTAAACGTTAAGCAGGGAATAACAACTACCATTTTTAAGGACTTTGGTGTGTTCCGGGGCGAACGCTCAACAATCAAGCCATAAGTGAGGTGTTGCCAAGCAAAGTGCTTGGAAATAAAAGGTTGTTAGAGGTAGAAAGAAAGATGAAGATACCAAATATTGCAATCGGCGCAGCGGATTTATTTTGGTCGCTTTTGTGTCCCTAAATAGAAGTCACCAAAGCAAATCCCTACATGTACGATTAAGTTCTCTATGTACTAGTCAGACTATATTTTCTGTAATAATACCATATAGGTGATGAACGCTGATTATGAACCTGTTTCATAAAGTTTTATAGTTAGTCATTTTTCAACCAATCATCGGCGAGTGTTATTGATTCCATTCACCGCTATCGAGGAAAAGGCCGCGGCATGAATTGCGAGTCTCAAATTGCATTATAAACGTATTTTGTTTTATTGTAAACCCTTCCTTAGTATACACTCGTGCACATATTAAAGGTTCCTAACAAATGAACCGTGCAGTTATTGATAGATGTTCGAGTCATTATTGTAGTAAATCGCATCTCGCTCATGTTGGCAAGATGGCATGCGGTGCAGACGACGTGTTGGGCGTTTCGGGGTTTCCGCCAATTTTGAATAATAACAAAATTCTCAATACATTGAAATGCACTGTTATTCTTCTTTGAAGAACTGATTGTCTTCACCTATGTTGTTATGTATTATCATTGTGATCGGTCAAATATCTGTTATTGTCTAATATATAATTATGTAGAAAAATCCCATATTCATGATAGATTATATAAAAAAAATCAGGTTCATATATCTTATCTTACTTCTTACAGTGATGTTTAACTTGTTATAATATTTCGTATATTTTAAATTGTAAGTGACATGATATTTATAGAAGCTGGTCTTCACTTTTCAATAAATAATAATACATTATGTATGAATCCTCGTCCAGAAACAGAAATGAGCTACCTGGTCTCTGTGCCTTTCTGTATACCCAGGACACTTCCCGCCGACTTGATGTGAAACAAATGCTTGATTTGAGTCATATTAGTTGTAGTTACTTTACCGACTGGACATCACAAACTTTGTTATGTGTGGTTTAATTCAGTAACATTCTAAATCCATCAGTCATAACGATAACAACAGTGAGGATGTTTTTATTATTTTTATGATAATTATGTATCATAACTAGATATGTAACCGAACAATTCCTGGTTCCTAGTTGTGAAAATATATTTTATCAACCGTAGATAACACTGTTATTAGTGTAGATCTACACTATTTCCAAGATTGTTTTATTTGAACTATTTTTGATTAGCAACAAGTTGTCATCGAGAAAGCTACTCAATATCCTAATACGTTTAATAGCCATTACACAGGATTCATTTTTATCCATTCACTCCAGATTGTATTGGCAAGCTGCTCTGCTGTTGTTTGCATGGCGAAGACGTGGAAATCTGAAACGATTGGCGTTGACTTGCTTTGGATTCCTACTGTAAATCTTGTGTTTGGATATTTTATTTCCTGAGTGTTGAAAGAAGGTCGGTTATAAAACGCCTGAAAAGGGATCATAGATACATGGTGACAGATATCTTATATATGTTATTCAAAGTTGCTTCACAACATAACTGTCATGCATGAAATTCAAAGCTTACGCTTACTTGCGTGCTCTGCACCCCTGGAATATGTAATGAAAATCAAGGGCACGTGGTAAGCTATCTAATTTGTTTCATGTTCAAAAACACTGACCAAATGCTACGCTTAAATGTTACTTTGCAGGAGTGCAGGAATACTTTCCGCATTTGTAATTGATGAATACTTATTATCCCTAGTAATTTTAAATTGATGTAATCTTAAACAACCATTCCCGGTACCATGGACACAAAATATTCTTTAGAAATGGAAAAAATAAAGCAATGTGGAAAAAGACGTTTAAAGAATAGAAAACGATCGTACCGACTGAACAAATCCTACTCGGGATAGGACCTCTTCATATATTTGAACCGTCCTTGTCAAGGAATTCACCATACGTTTTGCTTTAGACACATACGCGGCTCCACAGGCTGAAATGTGTAAAGGTTTATAATTCATAATTCTGTCCTGTTTTAAGCTTGGAAATATGGCGCTCGTCCTGGATGTTTTTTCAGGGTGACTGATGTCACATAAAATAAAATATTTATAACTCCATACGATATGCACGTTCAACACAACTGTTTTGTTATACATGCATGCTGAGATAATTTGTTGTCACGTCTGTTCAGATTAATAACCTAGTTATATTTTCAAGGCCTAACGAAGATACGTAGATTTATACATAAGTTACCTGGATTTAATGCTACGTGTGTATAATCTGTATTCAAATGAATGACATTGCCTATTGCGTTGTATGTAGGTCACATGGTTCTAATGTTTTCGATCTCGATGTATTACAAACAATTGGTTATCCAAATGCAAGTAAATTTTAAGTGACCGGGAGAAATACTTTGCTAGAATGCCTTTTGCATGGTATTTCATTTCAGTGAGATAGAACTATTTAAGATTGTATAGGATCAAGACTTAAGGAGGCAAATACGCACGAGCACTCGTGCATAATACACTCAGAGCCACGTCCTTAAATGACCTTAACAAAAAAAGCACATTTAATTATGATCACACCATATGTTTATTTAATCGATTTGCACTTCAGAAATCCCGACAGTCAAGTCAGACTGTTGGTCAATAGTGTGTCGTTCATCATGAACATTATCACTTTGATATCCTTTAACCTTTTCCCAAAAGTAGAAACGTAACATATGTTTCTGCCTCTGTTTTATTTTAAGATATCACACTTGAATCGTAGGTTTTTGCAGATCAGTTCTGAACAGAAAACAGACCCAAAAGTAAAAACATTCTCATGCAGAACAGGCGATGAAAATGAAATTAGATTATTATGAAAAGGTCTCAAATCTACAGGTCACAATCATGATTCAAAAGTTGACAACAAAGAATGGGAATACTGAACCAATTCTGATTTTAAAAAAAATTATTTGCGAGACATGATTTGGTTTCACTATTCTGAATTGCATGGATTGTACAAATATTCGAGGTGCGGGTATAATCAAATCCGAGGCAAACCAAAATATTTGCAAAAACAGCATGGTTTGAGAAATCACGAATATTTATCCTGTCTGCCGACCATCTACATTCGGTACCAGTGTTATTTAATATTACAAATAAGAAAGAAACAATTATCAATATTGGTTCCATTCTGTTGCCTTCCGAGAAATGATACCGACCACGGACGACATTACAAATGATTCCTTTTCACGGATAACAAAATAAAAAGCTATGTATATACATTGTACTGTGTTGTATCCTATTCAGAAATGCATCCTAAAGCTTTCCTGATATTTAAACGCAATAAACATCATAGCTGAACATAACAATTATTTTAAACAATTTTACGTTTGGTTGGTCAAACGAATAAGTCAGTCACCAACTATCAATTTAAACTAGTGTGCCAAACGGTATAATACATACCTGCAGTAATTGGCTTTGACTTTGGCGATGACCTGCAGGCTTGACACTTGTCGCGAAAGGACAGACATGATGCTAAGCCTGTTGAAAGTGCGTTGCACGCTACTGCCCTTTTCTTCCTCCCAAGATGAAAATGCACACCTCAAAATTAAAACAACATGCCGATATTAATATGGTAAAATACAGGTAAACATACACTTTAAAATAGGGTTGTAAACCGTTAACTCGTTACTCGGTATGATGACCGTGAACATGATAACAAAATCAATAACAGAATAGTAAATACTTGTCCTTTATACGAAAGTCAACTGGAGTTATTTCCCTTTCTCTATTGTGGGAACAATTCGATCGAACGGGGATGTGTTAATATTGGAGACAGTATACGCGATTCTTTACTTCCTCCACGTGTCTACATTTGCGATATCATTATCCGTGTCAATCTATTTCGCAGTTTCTGGTCAAATTGATGAAAATTAAAGCCCGTAGATATAACCTGTTGTATATGGTATTGCTATCCGAGTTTTGATATTTATGTATTGCAACGCCTCTCTGGCATTAACTCGTGTTTTGCTGAATATCTGAACGTTTGCCACCGTGTGAAAGATTTGTCCCAAGGCCTAAATATATTTAAGTCGTTTAAAATATAAGTTGTTAAACATTTACCATAAAGAGCAAACGCAATGACAGGCTATCCGTTGACAGTTTAAATGTGTGAATTGGCATTTGAAGGTATCTTAATTGATATATATATAACATGATCATTAATAAGAAGGATCAACTATCAATATTGTAGCTGATCAACGTTAGATCCGGTTTACTTACTCAGTAAATCAGCAAGGGTTCTTGACAGATCGTATGAAAAAGATCCCCTGTTAGGAATACTGGCCCCAAGCTTCTCCATCCCAATATTCATTGCTGATGACATGTCCCTTAAAATCACTTCCTCGGGAGAAATGTAACTGATGTCTGCCATCAAGCGATCATTTTCGATTGTATAACGGGTTTGAATCTGTTTAATACCGTTTTGGAGCTTAAAAGCAGTGCTTGATGACCAACTGTTGACATAATTACCCAAAAGCACAATGAACTGTTGAATTGAAGAGCCCATGTCGTACATGGCATATCGTAAGTTTGCGCTTAACCTGTCTTTTATATTTGTGACAACATTTAACATGAACTTTTCAGAGTTAACGGTCAGCGCACAGATATCTTTCTGGTCAAATCCCACGATGTCACACAAACCAAGTCTTTTCTTCGACCCAATCTTGCATTCAGTGTATCTGAGAGAAAAATGTCAAAAAATGACTCGTAAGACTGTATAAAAGAAACGAAATCATTACATTAGTCGAAATTGGAGTACAAATACTAACTACCGCACAAACATATGCATTACTAACATAGAGGAAAGTCCTCGAACAACCTTAACTATGACAAGGCCGTTAACCAAATGATTGGTTTTGTTTGATATGGTGTACCGTCCTGTTGCCAGGTAAGTTCATATACGGACTTGCAATCTTGTTTGTAAAACACCGATTGCTGCGAGGAGGTAAACACAAAAACAAGCATTTTAAAATTGGCATATTAAAGGCAGTATTTTGGTTTGCAATAGTCAAGATTAAAGGGTTTGTTTGGTAATTAACGTGTTTGCAACAGCCAAGACCTTATGAAAACAGTTTCATTGCGTGTTTGTGTAGAGACAACAATGCCACACCTTAAACACTTATCATTACATCAAACTTTTCACCGTTATGTTAAGGGGCTAAACAGCTGTACACCTACTCTTTTACGCCAGAATCTCCCCAGGCATCAGTGTCATATGACTGGGGCTGTTAAGTATTTATTTTTCATACCATCAAAATTATCAACAAGGGCGGATTCCTTATAGGTATTTTGTGCAACAAGTATTTTGCAAATCTTAAATATGTACTCTTAAAATGAAATTCAACTTATTTTACATATAGTTTGAAATTGTAATGTAGTAAACACTAGTCTGGAATTGGTTGACATTTAATGTCCAATAAACATTAATTTGAATCAAGTATTACAGGGACAAAATCATTTTCATTTTCTTTAAAGCAGACGGATCCCTTTTATCGCTTGGATGCCATTGAGCTCAATAGGGGAAAATGGGGTAAGAGTCTTTGATAGATGATCAAGATTTGCCGATATTTTAATATTCCATACACGGCATGTGTCTCGGCCAGTTTACAATAAATCATTCAATTGACATAAGGTTTTAGTTTTATTGGATGTTCTTCCATCAATGCAAAAGGAACTTTGTAGTAACTCTTACGACTCGTGATGAATGCTTCTGATACCACCAGTGTACTTCAGCTGCATAGTCTTACCGATTGATGCAGTTGTTATTGGTGCAATCTGCGCATGCTTGATAAGTTGTTATCCGCCCCTTACAGTTCTGTGACGACAGTTGTAGAGTCTGGATCGCGTCCCAGGAAGTCTGCAATTCGGGTATCACCTTCATTAGTAGCTTTTCTCTAATCAGCTTGTTTAAAACTGAAATATTCATATTTGAAAACAAAACAAGGAGAATATTGAGAATAAACAAATCATTTTCATAAACACCTAGAAATATACCGGAAAAATAAAGAATAAATGACTACCTTTAACTATTTATTTTTAATTTTGTGTTGCTTCATTGCCTTTTGATAAATAAATCATTTAGTAGGAAACAACCCTTTAAATATAGGATCACAGAAAAGAATATCAAACGTACTAAAAGGTTTAAAGATTTAGAATAATTTTAAAATGAAACATCAATGACAACGAATTTCTTTTAAAAGATATCGTAAACAACTGTTGAAAATAAATCGTATTAATGTCATAAAAACTGCTCAAAACAAAAACCTTTACGGAAGACAAATATATTTCGTGTTTATATTAATTCTGCTTACTGAAGTTGCTCTATTGCCAAACGGTATGAATACAGGAACTACTTACTTAGCAAACAAACTTATGCTTCCATTGATGTAAAATAGAAAATTTCTGTAAGACATAAATGTCCCCGCTCATGGATGGGACGGGACACGACGCAACAGGACCGCCCCCCCCCCCCCCCCCCCCCCCTATTTAAAACGCATCATCTCTCTGTTTACAACGCTGCTAAAATTTATCATAAACCAGAACGAACTTAAGATACACCACAAGATCAGGCCCTGGATCAGTGTTCACTGTTGAAAAAGTGTGCCTAGTTGAACAAATAAAGTATATATCCAACATTGGATATGCTTACACCAGAGCAGAGGTAGTCATTACTGCTTCTGAATATGCAACCTGTCTTCAGAGAGTAACCTTTCATCCTAAATTGTTTCTATTTGTTTTGTTTGAAGATGGCCAGAATACCTTTTCAACATATTTAATTAATATACAATCTTTCTTTTTAAAACACAAACAATAAATGTTATTTGAAAATTTGGCCGATAAACTATGACTTTTTAATCATATTTTGAATGTTGGAGACAATTTGCTTCAAGTGACATCCTTAATACGTAAAGATTTGTATCTGAAGGGCCTCCATATGCGTATTAACATGTCCCACGGATTCAGGCGACGTCATCTATACCTTCTGTCTTCGTAACCAATATTTCACAAATGGCGCTAGTAAATAAACGAGCACTGTAAACAACGATTATTTTACACTTGTGTTTATAGGAAAGTCAAACGTAAAAGAATGCATAAATGTTTTGATTTTATTGAATTCTTTTCAGCCGTAATCAAGCGCCGATGTCTTATTGCCACGACAAAAGTGTTCATAGACGTGGACTTACGAATAAACAGGAAACGACCGCTACATTCGTCATACTCCCCATACTTTACTACAGGTTTAATAAGTAATTAAATTGGATTCTTTCGAATTTGTGTGATAGACATGTATTTATTACAACCATGCAACACAACATATCATGCAGGGCTAAACGATATCTGAAGTAAACGAAACGAAACCGAGAAACAAATATGAAAACAGCAATGGCTTGTGCTGAAGTAGAAGTAAGTTTCCGCTAGAAGCTATGCAAGTGATATTTACTTTGACTTATAAGAGGGACTTGCCAAAATTGACGACAGTACTTTTAAGAATGTTTATTTGTGAAGTCATCTATGAAGTAGTAATGGATACGCTTACCTTGAATATTTGCGTTGGGCAGCTGTGCTGATGTAGCAAAAGATAGACAGAATAAAAATGTGATTGCCCATCCTACTTGGAGGCTAAGCTTGGATCGCGACGTCATGGTGTATGCCAATGAAACTGTAATATAACGCTATGTCAGTTGGCTTTCTAGATTGTATTTAAATCACATGGTCATCCATGCCTGCCTAATTGGCTGTCGTCGTGTATAAAATATACAATAAGAACACTTACGTAACTGTTACAAAACGTAATTTATGTATTCATCACAATGATATGAAATGAATATGACTAATGTATGTTTATGAGTTGCAACAGTTACTGACCTCACTTGTGCAACTGGAACTTTTCTGACAGGTTATAAACCGCAAAATGATCGTTTAGCATTATATGCCGCATTTCAAAGATTAATTTGTGTCTTATTTTATCTATAAAAAACAACAACATGTCATTGCTAAATAACGTGTTCGCTAAACATCATTCAATTCTACGATGTGGTACAACACAATTACAACACTGAGCACTGGTACCTTTTGTTTAACGTCCTATTTACAGCTAAGGTTTGGTCATATTTAATAAGTGGGACATCTATCTTTTCTTCTACCTACTTTTTCTTTTCGACGATATCTTCCTTGGAATCTATATTAAGGCCAATGATAGTTAGACAGCACTTTAAATTGGGCTATGATTGGCCTATGAACTCGTGTCAACGTCCTTCGATACTTTCTTTGGGTTTAGCATCCTATAAACTTCTTAGGTCATTTAAATTCATTGTGTTGGAAGTGGTATGCTGATGTATTTGCCCCTTGCGAAGTAGATATTTAATACTGACTCAATAGTGCTACCTTACTAAAATACCATGCCAAAACACCAAACATAATTTTTCGCCCGGTCACATTAAATCAAAAATCGGTCAACCGATTCCGTACAATTACCATAAAACATAAAAGCTTAACTTTTAACCACCATTTTAAGGACTTTTGCTTGTCAAAGACTGAGAACAAATCCAATGTCTTTCCTCTTTTTCAAAGTTCAACACTAACGCCAAAGGTGAGGTATTGCATTGCAAGGCGCTAGGAAATCAGAGGTTGAAATAATTTGCATGTAGGGAGTAAACTCAGGGATCATAAATGTTGCCATGGGTTCAGCTTATTAATTTTGGTCGCTCTCATTTTGTCAAGTAGATTCCGGTTATAATTCCTCTGCAGGTGGGGGATCCAGAAAAGAATACACCTGCTGTTCCACACTGCAGGAGGTGTCGTAAGTGGCGACTAATGAAGTACTCCCTGCAGAACTGGTTTTGTTTAATTTAGTATCTTCAACATCCTATCAACAGCTATGGTCATATAAGGACGGCCTCCTCTGTTTGCAAGATTCATGCGTGTGTGTTTTGGGAGGCTGCAACATGTTCGGGTTTGTCTCATAGCGCGGAAATATTAATGACATTATAGTGCTACCTCACTGAAAGATACTGCCGAAGACACCCAGCAGGACTCCTAAATCAATGAACGTTAATCAAAAGACCCAGGGTACTGAAATTAGGCCTGTTGCATGAATGGATGAAGGGCTACCAAGTTTGTTCAAATAAATGACCTTTGCCCACCTTCAAGGTCACAGGGGTCAAATGCCTTAAAATCTTCAAACGATTTCATCTCAATAACCAAAAGGCCTAGGGTGATGATATTGGGCTTGTAAAATGCCGAATTAACTGGCTATCTAGTTTGTTCAAATGAATGACCTTGATCTACTATCAAGGTCACAGGGTTAAAATGTCTTAAAATCTTCAAACGTCTTCTTCTCAATAACCAAAAGTCCCAGGGTACTGATAATGGGGCTGTAAAATGCCGGATTGAAGGGCTATCATGTTTGTTCAAATGAATGACCTTGACCTACTTTCAAGGTCACATGGTTAAAATGTCTTAAAATTTCAAACGTCTTCTCAATACCCAAAAGGCCCAGGGTACTGATATTGGGCATGTAGCATGCATGGATGAAGTGATACAAAGTTTGTTCAAATGAATGACCTTTACCCACTTTCAAGGTCATAGGGATCAGATGTCTTAGAATCTTCAAACGACTTCATCTCGATAATCAAAAGGCAAAGGCCCAGGGTACCGAAATTAGGCGTGTTGAATGAATGGATGAAGTTTTTCAAATGAATGACCTTGACCTACTTTCAAAGTCACAGGGTTAAAATGTCTTAAGATCTTCAAACGTTTTCTTCTCAATAACAAAAAAGGCCAAGGGTACTGATATTAGGCCTGTTGCTTGAATGGATGAAGGGCTACCAGGTTTGTTCAAATGAATTACCTTGACCGACTTTCAAGGTCACAGGGGTCAAATGTCTTAAAATCTTCTAACGACTTCTTCTCAATAACCAAAATGGTCCAGGGTACTGAAAGTGTGCATGTTGCATACTGGCAGGACGGGCTACAAAATGTGTTCAAAAGAATTACCTTAAACAACTATTAAGGTCACATGGGTCAAATATGTTAAAATATCCAAACGACTTTTTCTCATTAACCAAAAGGCCAAGTGTACTGATATTAGGTATGTAGCATGCTAGTATGAAGGGCTACCAAATTTGTTTAAATGAATGACTTTTACCAACTTTCAAGGTCATAGGGGTCAAATGTGTTAAAATCTTCAAACGACTTCTCCGAAACCAAAATTCCCCAGTTACTGATAATGGGCGTGTAGCAAGGTGGAATAAAGGGCTACAAAGTTTATTCAAATGAATGACATTGACCAACTTTTAAAGTCACATGAGTCAAATGTTTTAAAATCTTCAAACGACTTCTTTTCAATAACCAAAAGGCCTAGGGTACTGAAATTGGGCGGGATTACGGGCTACCAAGTTTGTTTAAAACAGTTACCTTGACAAACTTTCAAGGTCACAGGGGTCAAATATGTTAAAATCTCCAAACAATGACGTCTCAGTAACCAATAGGCCTAAGGTGGTGCCATTGGTCCTGTAAAATGCCGGATTAAAGGGCTACCAAGTTTGTTCAAATGAATTACCTTTACCCACTTTCAAGGTCATAGGGATCAGAATTCCTAGAGTCTTCAAACGACTTCCTCTCAATAATCAAAGGTCAAAGGCCCAGGGTACTGAAACGAGGCGTGTTGAATGAATGGAAGAAGGGCTACCAAGTTTGTTCAAATGAATGACCTTGACTTACTTTCAAGGTCACAGGGTTAAAATGTCTTAAATCTTCAAACGTCTTCTTCTCAATAACAAAAAATACCCAGGGTACTGATATTGGGCAAGTAATATGCATGGATGAAGTGCTACTTAGTTTGTTCAAATGAATGACCTTGACCCACTTTCAAGGTCACATGGGTTAAATGTCTTAAAAATCTTCAAACGACTTCTTCTCAATAACCAAAAGGCATAGGGTACTGAAATTGGGCCGTTTGCATTCTGGGATGAAGGACTATCAGGGTTGTACAAATAATTGACCTTTACCCAATTTCAAGGTCATAAGGGTCAGATGTCTAAGAGTCTTCAAACGACTTTTTCTCAATAATCAAAAGACAAAGGCACAGGGTACTGAAATTAGACCTGTTGCATGAATGGTTAAGAGCTACCAAGTGTGTTCAAATAAATGCCCAATACCCACCTTCAAGGTCACAGGGGTCAAATGCCTTCACATCTTTAAACGACTTTTTCTCAATAACCAAAAGGCCTAGGGTTGTGATATTGGGCTTGTAAAATGCTGGATTGAATGGCTATCTAGTTTGTTCAAATGAATGACCTTGACCTACTTTCAAGGTCACATGGGGTCAAATATTTTAAAATCTCCAGACGACTTCTCAATAACCAAAAGGCCTAGGATGATGATATTGGGCATGTAAATCGCCGGATTGAAGTGCTACCAAGTTTGTTCAAATGAATGACCTTTACCCACTTTCAATGTCATAGGGGTCAAATGTGTTAAAATCTTCAAACGACTTTTCAAAAACCAAAATTCCCCAGGTACAGATATTGGGCGTATAGCAAGCTGGAATAAAGGGCTAGGAAGTTTGTTCAAATGAATGACATTGACCCACTTTCAAAGTCATAGGGGTCAAATGTCTGAAAATCTTCAAACGACTTCTTCTCAGTAACCAAAAGGCCAAGGGTACTGAAGTTGTGCCTGTTGCATACTGGGATGAAGGGCTACCAAATGTGTCGAAATGAATGACCTTCGCCCATATTCAAGGTTAGAGTGGTCAATATATGTTTAAAGTTTAAATGACTTGTTCTGTATAAACAAAAGGTCCAGGGTACTGATTTGTTCCCATAATCATGATGGGTTGGAAGACTATAAACTCTGTTCAATCTAAAGTCCTTGATCGACATTCAAGGTCATATGTTTAAATATTTTAATAGGTTCTTATGAATCAAACACTGATATTCTGCCTGTAGCTGTATTTTAGTCCACTTTTAAGTGTGAGATAAATACCAGGTGAGCGATTCAGGCCCGTTAAGAATATTTTAATAATTATTATGTTCAGTAAAGCCAAACAACCTAACAATGTTACGTGTCTTAAATCTCATTTTGGAAAAATAGTTGTCCGTAGAATTTAAATCTTTCTGAAAGTTGTTTTATTTTTAATACAATATGAGTCACCAAAGTTTTATTTAATATTGTTTCACGTCCTATTAACAGCTAAGGTCATTTAAGGACGTGCCTCAATGTAAACCTTTTTTTCAATATTCAACTGACGTTTGTCTTTTATCTTTAAATTTGTTTTTGTCGACCATTTGTTGGCCTGAATGACCTCTCCTGTGTTGATGGGCTGTTAAGCATGTACTACTTATAATAAGAAAAAACATGAAACCGAATGCAGTAGTATAATGATTTACTACATAGATTTTACAATCCCATTGTAACAGTGTTACATCAGGTGGGTCCGTCTCACCCATTCATTCCAAATATCTGTAGCCATTTTCGATGCGGTCTGTTGAAGATCCATGATCTGAAGTCGATACTTTGGAGTAAATTCAAAAGAAACGCCACGAATAACGGCGTTGTACTTTACGTTACTGTATCCAAGGTTCTGCCTGTTCACACCATTATTACCGTAGGTAACCTGTTAAATAAAGGAATAATATCTTCATTAATATAGTTTATTCAGCAGTATTCATAATGCAATGACGAGAAACATTCTCACCAGAGAAACGGAATCACGACATTTCCCATTATGCTAGCATATGCTATTTTTACCCAAGTTTTTAACCTTTTTTAACATGTTTTTGTACCGCTATTTGCCTTAATGACACATTCTTTCTTTTGCTTGTATATATCTTCTGTATCCATGTTGTGACTTCTCGGTCAAAAAATTTAAAACATCAATGTTATGACCTTTTGGTTTCAAAATTTTTAAAAATGACTCAATAGTGTCAGTCACTGGATATTGTTTTAGTACAATTTGATGACACCGTACGACGTCATTTGGCATATAAAAACACGAAATTTCTATGCAACTCGTTTAGAACCTAGTACTTCATATCATCAATGCCGGGCGTATTTTAAGTACCCTTTTCACGCCACAACTTAAATATTTTGTTAATTTGAAGCTTATCTCAATAGATCGGTGGATTTATTCTTTTCCTTTTTTGCTGTTAAAGCTTTTAGCGCTCTTTGTGTCTATTTTTAAAAACCGAGTGCCTTCATCATGGTATTTCAGTGAGATAGCACTATAAAGTCAGTATCAGATTCGCGCTGTCACAAGGAGACAATCACACCTAGATACCCTGTCTTCTGCATACACACAGGCAAGCACGCATACACTTCACACATGGAGGCACGTCCTTAAATGACCTAAGCTGTTAATAGGACGTAAAATTAAATTAAACCCAACCTAACCAAACTTAAAAAAAATCACCTGGGTATATCTTTATGTTCAGATATCAATCTTACCTTTTCAATGAAATTTCGTTGAATGCAAACTTTATCAAATATTTCGTTTGCTGCTTGGATGGGTTTTGCAATACCTGCTATGGACTTCTGAAGATTCGCACTACAAACTACAACAAGAAAAGAATACACAGTGTCATTATATTTTACAATTAACGTAAAAGTGTACAAATTCAAGTGGTGCACCATTGTTAACCCGAATTCATCTGTGCTGTAGGCATAAACATGTTTATAACAACAAAACACAAAAGGATGAAGTTTCCCCTGGCAGCCGTATTCATATGACCATAACTGTAGAGCTTGTTTGAAAATTTACGTCTTTGCAACAGCTAATGTCAATTAAGCATCTGATTTCCTCTGATTTCCCCCTAATGCTTAGTTTTACTACATGTAAATGCTAATCTATTTTATTACTTGATATTGACATTGAATGTTGACGCTATTGTGGATAATGTTCATGATTGGCAAAAACACGACCAGCAATAGTGACATTAGATAACATACCTTCCGATATCACTGAAGCCGACTGTCCAGTGCACGAGCATTGTGTCGCATATGCCGCAAAACAATGAGCAGGAAAACTCTGTATTTTTGAACAGCTTACGGCTTGCCTTTTACGTCTTCCAAAACTCGGGTTGTTTGTAGCTGAAAACATCAAGTAAACTTGAGATTGCTCTGTTGTTTGCCTGTTATTAGTGTGTCGTGTGCATGTTGTAAGTGTTATCAACATGTTACCCTTGCTTGTTACTAAACATAAAATGTTATCCCATTGTGTAATGTCGCGATATTATTATTGTATAATGTCGCCTTTTGTCACAAAACTGAGAGTTGACAGTTAACATTAAAAGGTCAAGGTTAAAGAATGATTATGTTTCCCAAGAATAGTTTTTGCATAGATTGTCATTGGATGACCTTAGATATTTTCAATATTATGCTAACCGAATGAAATGAAGCCATATTAAAAGACTGTCATTTGATCAACTCATTCTATATTATTTTACCAGTTCAATCTACAGGAACCGATATTAAGTAGCAGCATTTGTTAACAACCAACCTAGCATCCGGGCGAGATTAAATGCCAACTCCGTCATAAAGTTGCCGGTTCTTGTGCTCATCTGGACGCCTACAGAGGCCATTCCTTCCTTCATCACCTTACTCATGCTGCTCATACTGTTCTGCAGTGCAGTATTATGATGTATGCCTCCATCAACAGAAGCTTTTACTGTTTCGTAATATGTTATAAGCGTTGTCAAGGATTTTCGAATAGGTATAGATTCTGCAGATGTAAGTGTTCTGTCCGTAAAGGATTTGATGGTCGTGAGGAATGTTACGACATTGGCTTCTTGGTCTTGCACCATTCTGCGCATCACCTTACGCATCTTACCGTCAATGTCCCACATCGCATCCAGCACAAGATTTTCACTGTTCATGATTCCCCGACATACCTTGTTATTTGCACCGGTAACATCACAAATGGTTACAGGTCTTCTCTCGTGACAGTGTTGAAAACTGGAATTGAATTAAAGAATTAACTGGTGCTTCTTTTACAATATCATTACTGTAAAATGTCACAGCAAAACACGTTTCTTTTCTCTTAAAACTTAATGCTTAGAGCAATGAATAATTATCATTATTAGATCTTTAACGGCTCATCAATACTGAAGAGGTCATCAAGCCCAATAATAGACAGATAAAACATTTTAAAGGGAATGACATAAATGGAAGTGAAACGGTAAAAATGAAACGTCAAATCAAAAAGTAAAAGTGGGTATGATTAGTTGAATCATTTTGAACACGCTAGGTAGTGTAGAATTATATAGCTATTTATTGTTTCGAAAAGAGATTCAAATATGTCCAGTAACTCAACTATTGCCGGGTTTGGCAATTTTATATTGGGTTTTTCTCTTTTTGTTCTTATAAACTTTTTTAATAGAAGGTCTTAATTGTTATGCAGGACTATGCTTACTTTTGATCGCATGCATCGTTGACGCAGGCTGCACATGCATCAAATATTCCAGAAAGCTGCGATTGACATCCCTGTGTTAGTGAAGTTGTAGAACTCATCTGGGTATTCGCAGATTCGAAAGCATCTGATATTTTCCGTAAAAGGGCCGTTCTTACATTATTGTTGAGGACTGAAATAAAGAAAGAAATGTCAGTTATAGCTTTTTCGGAAGCTACAATGTAGAAAAACGTAACACCCCGACTGCTTCAAGCTTACATACACACAAACACGCATACATTACACAGATAGAGGTACATTCTTAAGTGACAGAAGCACTAAATAGGATATAAACATTCAAACCCTATTTCTTCATATTAGCAGTTGCATTTCCCTGCTTAACATCCGCATTAAAATGTAAAATGTACGCAAATATTACTTTCAGAGTGTCTCTTTGTTATTGTTGTCTGGCCTGATATGAATTTACTGATTCTTGGCTTCAGAGTAATTAACTGAACAAGTGTTACGTGAAATAGCTGCAGTATTAAGGATATGTTTTATTTAGAAAAAAATGAATTTGACATTAGGACGTGATATTAAAGAAAAAAGATCACATATACCTACACTGAGCGATGGTTCGATCTTATCTGTAATTGTAAGTACCACATCAGGATTAAACAATATTATAACCTGCTGTGAATACGACCGTATACAAATTTTAACATACCTTGTAAATTAGCGCCATCCAATACTAGAAATGAACAGGGTGATATTAAACAAACGAACACAATAGCAGACGCTAATCTCTCCATGGCTACACCTGTTGTTCAGCCGAATGGTTCTGTACGATATTTGTAACTATACAGAGCCGGGCGTCGTCACAGATAGAATATATTAACATGATAATTAACATGTTGAATTAAATAGGTCTATGTGTATGCTTTCTCAAAAGCGAACGTGACTGGTGAAACCTATCTGCCCTTTCTTTTCACTCTTATTTATTTTTTCTTCCGAGTGGTGTTGCATCCTTGGCATCTCTATTCGTTAGAATGATTTGACCAAGTGGTATAGCTCCATCTCAGCTGTACTAGCTGCACATGGATTGAATAAAGACTGGTAAATATCTGTAAGCCATGAATGCCCCTTATGAAGGAATCGCTCTTGACCTTGGAGCCCTGAAACACAACGATTTCCGATGTATACTCATACTTGACCTCTGTATTTAGTTTGACCAAATTCTTAAAGAATAAGGTTGCTAAGCGTATACATTTACTCTAGACGGGACGGGCATAGGCAACACGCCAAATGCTATGCTGGATGCTTTTGGTATGGCATTTAAGTAACGTAGCACTATGTCATTTAAGGACGTGACTCCGTGTATGTTGTGGAAGCGTGCATATTTGCTGGAGACAGGCTAAGTTGGTGTACCTGCCTCCTTGTGATAGCGCGGGTCTGATTCCGTCCTTATAGTTCTATCTCACTAAATTACCAGGCCGACGGCACCCAGCACAGCATACTGACAACATAATGTTGCCTTTGCCCTTAATGCTGAACATTCAACAGGGAATAACAAGTACCTCGTTGAAGGAATTCGGTATGTCCCGGCCTGGGGACAGAACCCAAGGACTTCGGTATGTCCCGGCCTGGGGACAGAACCCATTACCTTCCTCACATGGGCGAACGCTCAGCATTAAATCCAAACGTGAGGTATTGCCAAGCAAGGCACAAGGAATCACAAGATAGTTCAAAAGTAGAGAGACCAAGGGTATTCCTATATTCAGGGATGACGAGTGTAGCATTATATAATCTTATTAGATCGGATGCATTTATAAAAAAAAGCATGCCATGTCTCTAGCACACATGTACAAATCGTTCATAAAGTATACAGATCATTAAATGACATCAGGGGTTGACCATATAAAACTTAAAGTCAAAGCCAATAACGACACTAATAGCAAAAGAAGACGGAGGAAGAGAAAATAACATACACCGGCCCAGAGTGGTTGGATCAATTATTTTCAATGTCCCTAAAGTAAAAAAAAACAACAAAAACGTGATCATATTAATTTCGGAGATGCCACCTGTACTTTAAATAGAAGGCAACCTTTGTGGGCGACCTTGTTCAATTAAGTGAATTGAAATCGGAATCGACTTTTTCTTTACAACAAAATACTTCATAGTTGATCCAATAAACTGATTTTTTGGCATGGCTTTTATTTAAATATGCGTAAGGGAAGGCTTTTGCCAGCTGAGTAATTTAAAAGCAAGTAAATGTCTCACCCAAAGCACATCGCAAGCTTCTGTTTCTATAAACTTACACTCATAGAAAATATGCCATCACTTAACCTACTTAAATGTGAACTCGTAATTTGTATGCTAAACACACGTATATTTTTGTGATTACATAACTCCTCGTTCGTTACGTGAATAAAGCATCTCATTAAGAAGAGTTCACATGCAAGTACGATTATAATTAATTAAATTCTAGACTGATTATTATGCGCCCCAGAGCATATAAAATAAACCATGACTGACGCTGTGTTGACAAATGAAATTAGAGCATATTAATTAGCATTTTGCGTTCTGATTGTTCAGCATCAACACTCAAGTTCCCGTAAGATATAACTTGATTTCGATGCAATTTTGGAAGCATCTATATAAATTTCGGAGTTGAGCAAACTTAGTGATCATATTGGTTTATTGCGGGTAATTGGCTGCAACTTTCCGCACAATAGCTGTTTTTAGGTCACCTGAGCTTTGCTAAACTAAATATTTAAATTACACAAAGACAAGGTCGAAGTTGGAAATCTGCGCATAATTAATTAGCACACGCCAATATTATTAGTCAACGGTTTCCGCATAATGACATATTTCAATGCTACATGAATGCCAATTATTAAGATGTGGTTGGTTTTGGTTTCATTACGTTCAACATCATTTTAACAGCCACGTTAAGGTCATTTAAGGACGTACCTTTATGTCTGTAATGTATGCCTGTATGTTGGCTGGAGGCAGAATAAATGCTTCCTTGCGAGAGCATGAATCTGATGCCGACTTTCATAAAGCTACCGTCTCATTATACTGGCAATGAGTACTCCAAATGTTGCGACTACGCTTGAAGCTTAACATTGTGTTTCGACTACGCTTGAGGCTTAACATTAAGCAGGGAAAAATAACTTACATTTTAAAGACTTCGGACATCATACAATGTTACGGGTTAATGCAAGAACCATATGCATTTGGAAAGGGACAGGCTTGTGTTGTTCCGCCCCTTCAGATTTATTAAAAAATGCGGTATTGGGTATTAATGTAACCCATTCAAAATTATCAACATTGCGTATTTGAAGCAGAATAATTGTCAAAAATATGAAATGGTTCCCCATGGCTGGAGAAATCAATTTCAAAATTGTACATCAAAGAATAGACCTAGAGCAGTTTAAATATTTTGTACAATGTGTGATTATACAACATATGCATAAGGGATGCATTGTATATGTATCACTTTCCAGCTGTATTATTAGCAAGGTTATTCATTTTAAGCAAGTATCTATTATCTCCAAATTGTAAAGGTGCAATGATACGTAAATAAAGTAAAAGCATGAAATACGTACATGTCCATTTATACCAATGGCATTGAACATTGCTTAATCAGTGGTTATGTTTATATTTCCTAGAGCCTTGCTTGGCCCAACCTCAATTTTGGCTTAAATGTTGAACTGTCGCCTAGGTGAGGAAGGCACTGGATGTTGCCCCTTATACATAAAAAGCTGTTATTCCCTGCTTATCGTTCAGTACTTAGGGTTATAGCAACAACTGGTTCACCTGTTAGTATAATCAAATCCTGCATAGGGTTCAAACATAAGGTGCCTCTACTATAGATGTCTAGCAAGCTTTCTTAATCAAATCATTTGAAAATAATGAAGATGATATTATTTAACCTGTAATGTATAACTTTACAAATGTTTAATCACATAGAAAAACAAATATTCCAATACATATTAAAATCATGAGCACTGAAAATTATTAAAAAATACGAAACTTTAATTATCGTTTGAATACTTATAAGTGCGTAGCTTCTGGGCGCCTGCGAAGATCTTTAATGGTAACAAATGCGTGCGTAAACAGCGTTGTTTCCCCTTGCTACAAACTGACCTTTGATTTTCGTCCAAAAGTAGACGTCATGTGGGGAATTTGGTTTGGTTTAGTATTGTTTAACGTCCTATCAACAGCCGTGGTCATTTAAGGACGGACTTCCATGTGTGCAAAATGCATGCGTGTGTGTTTTGGGATGCTGCTATATGTTTGTGTTTGTCTCCTTGTGACAGCGCGGATCTGATGCTGACTTGATCGTGCTACCTTACTGAAACATACTGCCGATTTGTTAGTATGACTCTATGTAATGCTGTGTAGAAAAACAGCGATGTGTTTACCTTTATATGTAGGTGACGCCGTGTGATGTGTATACCCGCACACAGGTGCGCGGTATCATTGTTTATATTGTACCTTATACAATGCATTTATGTAGAGCGTTAGGTATTTGTACCTGCTCCACATAAATTTGTCATATATAAGTCATGTATTATAAAGTAAGGATTAGGCTGTATATACGTTAATGTGATATTGTGGTTTCGTTCGACTACTATTCAGTGAACCATTAAGGTGTCGTGCGCCATGCATTAACATTTAAATACAGCTAGTGGGAACATGTCATTATTATCACTGTACAGTCTTTATAGATTAACAGTCGTTTTATAGCTGTATATTAGGTAACTGTCATTCAATTATCTCTATAATTACAGTAAATAATTGTGATGTTGACCTTAGTAACATTCCTGTTGATATTGTACGGTACCGGTATATTTTATCATTTAATACATAGCTGAATATCTGTAGTTAAATCCTGATATGAAGATAAACGCCTTCCTAATTGATGGTGGTAATACCCTTGACCCCTCTCACGGACGGACGTCGTTCCTGTGTTCATGACCGGAGCACGTCTGATGATGGACGTCTCTCACGGACGGATGGTGGTCGATGATTGTGGAACATCCGGTGATAGAGGAAAGTCCTTAGTGGTGGATACAGTGGACATATGTGACATAAACAGACTCTGTTGATGGTGTCTGATGGCTTTGTGTATAGTGGATTGGAACTTGTAACGTAAACACTGTTGTGACGTTGTGTGCTGATCGGGGTAGATTATAGCCTACTCGATTATAGCCGTGCAATACTTTACTACACCGAGTAGCATACTGCCTAGTCTGTAATTATTCATGTTGGTCATTGCAATATAACAGTGGAATACAGCCCACTCTCACTTGTGCAATATTATGTATTTGCTAAAAGTGTGAAATTGAGAAAGAGAGTGCTATGTTTATGTAAACTATGGTTTTATATGTTTTTATATCAAGTTGTATATAGTGTAATTCAAATTGTTTTTCTTGTTCTTATCTTAATCAGCAATTCGCTCATCCCGTTACAGCGACATTGCGATGAAATTTGAGGACCTAGGTTGGACCCCATACGAGTCGTGTGGCCAGAACCTTCCTTTAACTAAACAATGTTCATGGTTTGGATTGGCCTTCAAAATTGGATTTAATACCATATAGCACATTAGGGACGTTAAGGGAGGAACCTGCGGTGTCGCCCTCCAAGTCTGTGGTTGAGAGGTGGAACCCGCGGTGTCGCCCTCCAAGTCTGTGGTTGAGGGGTGGAACCTGCGGTGTCTCCCCCTAAAGTCTGTGGTTGAGGGGTGGAACAACAACCCCTTACATCATGCGACTTGACACTAGCTCTATGTATCGGTGTTGCAATGCAGTCATCAGGGCTGTCGGTGGTCACACACGCCACTAAGCGCACAAACCTGA